CCAATTCAATCATATGGCATTAACATCAAGCACCCACAAACAATTATCACCTTCAAAAATCACCTCACGTTGGAAATTGGTCAGTGGGCGGTTCACCAAACCCCCGACGACCCCCAGTCCTCTCAACGCCCATCCTCTCAAAATGTGCACCCCGGGGAAGCCCCAATCCCCCATATCTGCGCCGACCGCGTCTAATCCTCACTTGGACCAGCCCTTCTCAATACTATTTTGCATTCTCTCTTTTCTTTCCAATATTATCACAACATCTTCAGCAGTCATCAGGTGCACCGGCGGCGCCGATCTCCCATTACCCCGGCGACGGTCCAATTTTATAATTTTCATCAAGATCCATATTTATCGACCTCCTCACAAACCACGGTGACACACTTCATCCCCAAATTTCCCACACAAACAAGGCCACAGTTATATGCACAGCACAAGTTAATCAAACAATCTTTCAACGTATACACCAAATCCATCAAATATACAATTATGCAACATTAAAATAAATATTGAGCTTTAATATAAAATATTATATATATATATATATATATATATAAGGTTTGTAAACAAAATGCTATGCAAATGCATGTTTGATATGCATTATTTATATTACTCACATGGATGGAGAGCGAAATTCTAGCTTTATGTTGTCCTGGAGGAGACTAGATTGGGACCCGGGATTCTAAGCAAAGAAGAAATTACACAAAAAAGAAATAACTTCTATTCAGACAAAAAATATTTCTTTACCCTTCTAATATTTTTATTTTATATTCTAAATTTTTCTACGTAATTTAATCTCGATATTTAATTTCTTTTTTGTAATAAATTTTTTTATTTCTCTAACTTTATTTCATTTATTTTCTTTTGAAATCTATTTTATTTCCTACTGAAATCTATTTTAATTTCTATCGAAATTTATTTTATTTTTCTACCGAAAGTTATTTTGTTTTCTACCGAAATTATTTTATTTTCTGCCGAAATTTCGGCAGCATCTCCCCTAAAAATTGAACTATCTACCTGTTAAAATATCAACAATATACCAATAATTTCAAACCACACAGCCCATCCATCGGGCAATCATTCAATTCAATTTTTTCCCATCCTCCATCCGTTTCATCCCACTCATAATATTATTATCAAAATTCCTTCAATAATATTATTTAATACTGAAATTTTGAGTTTAAACTAAATATGTTTTTATTAATCAATAGTGACTTTCACATTAATTAATCAATAACTATTGTTGAATTCATTTTCACTAACTAAATAAAACTAAAATTACTAACTAAATATTTATTAATCAATAAATATTTTATTAATCAATAAATTAATACTCTTTAAATAAATTTCACCACATAATATTAATTAACTACGCAAAATAACTAAATTTAAATGAACTAAATTAATTTTTACCCCAAATTTATTAATTTCTGTCGCAAATTATAGATCGGACTTGCACGTGTGCTGGATCTAAACTGCGCGCACTGGGACTGCAAGCAGGTGGCTAGAGTCGTGCTGGAGTAGCTAGACCACCTGAGACCGCTCGATCTGGCCGAGGATGAAGCGCTGCTGCAGGCGGAGCTGCTGGCTGTGGCGCGCGGAGGAGCGGTGAGGCGGTGCTGCGCGCGATGGAGACCGTGCGACTGGCTGTGGATCGCGCCTCTGCTGTTGCTAGCTAAGGTCGACGCAGGCGCAGTCACAGCAAGAAAGAAGAAGAGAGGAAGAAGGAAAGGGAAAGAAAGAAAGAAAGAAGAAAGAAGAAGAAGAAGAAGAAGAAGAAAGAAGAAGAGGAAGGAGGAGGCGCTGCTGTGATGGTGAGGAGTAGAGAGGTGCAGCGCTGGAAAAAAAAAAGAAAGGGAATTTTCTAGAGAATTCTAGATGGTTTGGGTCGAACCGGTTCGATTCGGTTCGATTCGACCCAAAATCTTTTGATTTTCGATTGGTTTCGGCGCTTTTTCATCTGTTTTCGGTTCCGGGTTTCTTCACAGTGTTCGCATATTAAAATATTGAAATAAATTTTCGTGTTCGCATTAAAATATTGAAATAAATTTTCAGGCTGTCGGTTTATTAAATTTAATTAGAAAATCTTTGAAAATAAAAATTCGGGTTGTTTCAATTTTCTACTGTAATTTTCTCAAACACATCTTGTCACTCCATCTTAGAAATAAATAAGATATTTAAAATTTATCACGGAGTATTTTATTATTGTTTAATATGTTTCTTTCTCGATAAATGTATTAGTCAAATTATTATATTATCATTAATCAGATCTTGGTATGAACAAAAATTAAAATTTTAACTTTCAATTTTCCACTTATATATGGCTAATTGCGTTGATTATTGGATAAATAATTATAGTTTGATTAATTTCAATAACACTTAATATGGAGCTTTAATTTAATACAAGTGTACATATATATAAAAACAAACAAAGCAGAAATTATAATTTCATAATATTAATCAAAATTTTATTAATCTGTGTGCAAGTCAGACAAAAAAAATTATATCATGGAGGAATATTAATCTTAATTTAATTACATGTTTTTGGGAATATCTAATTTGGAGTAGAAGTGTGTTAACCTCTTCCTCTCACAAGGATAAATTTTCTTTCCATTTTCATTTGTCTCATATTATAGGCTATTTTTCTTGTTATCAAATTTTTTTTTTAAATTGTTTATTGAAGTTGGCATTTAATATTAATATAGGGGGGTATAAAAGGAAAATATAGATGAAATTTTCTTTTCAAATTATATTAACTAATTTTCTTTATTTGTATAAAAATAGAATTAAAATAAGCTTATTTTGTTGGTATGGACTGGAGAGAGTAAAATAAAGAAAGGTGCATTAATCAAATTTGAGGAGAGAGGAAGAGTTAGACGCGTACAAGAACAAAAAAACGTTTTTTTCAGTTGAAAAACATTTGGAAAACATGGTTTTATTATAAAAGAAAACTATGTAAAACAACTTTAAACCCGTTAAAAATAAAATTGAACATAACATTCTATTTTTCAAATTTTTTTTTGGATAACTTTTATAGGAAACTACTTCAGTTATTTTTCAATGACTAAACGACACAGTATTGTATTCTCAGACTATTCGGTTTTTTAGACCTTTTTTACCAAACGCAAAATTAAGATCTGTCAATCCGAACTGAACCATTTTAACCAAATTTCCAAATCAATGCAGTTCAATTCAGTTTTCTGTTAAAATAAACAGTTCTCACCCTATGAAAAACTTCAAAATAATTACTATAGTTGATAAAAACTTCTGCCATTGCCATTCTTTAACTAGCCTTGTAATGTTGACATAATCTGCAAGTGGTATACATCTCAAATAACTAATAATACAATGAATAACTCCCTACCTCATGTATGGCAAAACTTTTGCCCAAGAAAAAGGGAGCGGGAGCGAAAACTTTCTCTCCCAAAATTGTAGATTACAAGCCAACATGCGGCTTAGAACACTCTTCTGGTGGTGGATGGTTGGTATGTCCATCGTGATCTTCTATGCTAGCTGCCATAGGTAAAGATGGGTGTAACCCTGGTTGGGGGAATAGCAGCTTTAAGCGAAACGCGTCAACGCCATTCAGATAGTAACGGAATAGCCGTTTTGCTCTAATAAACCCAAGACGGCCGTATAGAGCAAGCGCTCCTTTGTTAGTGACTTCTGCTTCTAATGTCACCTTCAGAAAATAAGTAAGTATTTAACAGCAAGGAGAAGAAAATCAATATAGATTCTGCAACTAGTTTAAAAATGAAGTTTTGTTAAGCACCGTGAGCTAACTTTTCATCCTTTCTCTTGCAAAAGAAAATGACATGCAGGAGAATAAGACAACAAATTAAAGCATTAGATCAATCTCAAGGAAAATAAGAAAATCTCAGCCAAATTTAGCTGCAATGCCTCATGGAAGCATTAAATTATTGACTAAAGAACATTTATGATAAAACTTCATCATTACTGATGAAGCCAATCCTTTAGGTCCAAACAGGCAGCTTTACTCCTTTAATCACTAAAACTTGGGGAAAATAGGTTAAAAGCCAAACTTCTCACACTCGAGACATCCCATTTACTCTTTCTTGCAAGTATTTTCCTTCAGATCTGAGCTAAGAAGCAGTAGCAGAAAAGCTAATCTACTAGTAAATTTCATGCCTTATTGCTCATGGATGGCACCAGAAAAGGGGGAAAAAAGTGAATATCATTCCTGGGACAGTACTCAGTGTGCCATACTAATTTTTGTATTAACTTCCTTGAAATATGATGCTACCGATCCTTCAAAGACAAAATTTTATAATTTTCAGGTAACAATGATGAGAAAAAAAATTTTCCAGCAGATTTGCATTCAGCCTCATTTAGAGAACTAGCTCAAGTCCCTGATTAGGCAGCACGCATGTTGGCAAATTAAAAGAGTTAATTGATTGCATCGATTGTCAAGTAAGGATATATCTAGGTAACCAGATTAATACATCTAATGCAATCATAATCAATTTGAGAGATTAAGCAGATCCAATGTGCAAAAGTTATAACAGAGAAATAAATGATAAACATGAAGTCGATATCATCCCTATTAGAAGTTATTGGAACAAAAATAAAGAAGGGAAGGAACAACACAACAAGAAAACTGGGTCATGCTTGAAAAATAGAAAGAAAAGGATAGTCTCAGCCAAATAACACAAGCTTCCAGTAACATAGCATTTGTTGCACTTGTATCATATAGGGATGCAGGGTAATGATCAGCGAAAGGGAGGACTAATTTTAACAAAAAGGGAAAACCATAAAACCAAAAGTTTGACAGCATACCTCTTCACATCCTGATTCCATCATCACTTTAATAGATCTGGTAACAAGTTCAGAGGCTGCAATTTGAAGAATACATAAACAGAGTCAGAAAAACACAGTCTTCATGCCACCAGAAAGAATGCAAATGAAAGATGAGAATTTTGTGCTACAATGAAATCAAATAATGTATGCTAAAATCCACAATAAAGAATATCTATTTATAATCATCAATTAAGATAATGAAACGAGAGAGGAAGAGAGAGATACCAATGCCTCTTCCTCGATAAGGTTTAATGACAACTAACATAGCAATGTAGCCCCTAAACGTTGTATTCCTGTGCTCTCCCATTTTGCAAACCACAGTTCCAACGCATTTACCTTTATGAAATGCCTAAAGAACACATCAACAACCACAAAATTGCAATAACCATAGAAATCCAAAGCCTAATGGATACAAAGAAAGAAATAGAAATATACCAGAAAAGATAGTTGAGGCCATAGATAAACAAAGTAACGATAAGTGAAAATTGAATAAGGCTCACTGAGTTCTTGATCAACGAGGCTCATAATTAACGGTAAGTGGTGTTCGCCGCCGTAGCTTACGTATTCTATCTCCGATGCATCGAATTCCGCTTTTTTCTCTCTTTCTTCTCCCTCTAATTCATTGCTTTTTTCCATTGTTATCGTTGTTGTTTCTCCCTTCCGCTCGACGGTGTAGTGCGACGGCAGGGCGAAATTGGTAGAAATTAGGACATGCCACGGTGGCTGTCCAGCGTGTATGGTAACTCTTAAGGCGCTGTATCAGATCCATTCATTCGGATTCGGGTTAGGTCTGAAGGCCCATTATCAAGGTAAAGAAGGGGATCGAGTTGTAATTGATCACAGTCCCAGCCCAAATTAAACCAACCCTATTCTGAGTTTCTTCTCCTTCACTGACCCTCTCTCCGTCTTTCCACCTATAAAATCAACATATGCATCGTTGCAACTTTTTGTCTTCATCTAACACTCGATCTAGCCATAGAGATAATTAGCATATACAATGGCTTCCAGAGTGATAACACGCAGGCTTTCCTCCAAACTTTTAAACTCCTCTTATGCTTCCACCAGTTCCTCTCAATTTGTCCCCCAAAACACCAACTTTGAATCCCTTGCTCGTTCCTCCAATGCCATCTTCATTCGACAAACAGAATCTGTAAACCCCAATTTTTATTTCTCCAGTTTCACTTCAAACTGTCATAATCACGTCTCTATTTTTGAATCCCAAGCTCTAATACAGCGAAAGCCGGCAAATTTCAATCACAATTTCCTTCAATCGTATATAAATTTTGCTACAAAATCCAACAACCACGACTTTATTAGGTCAACTGTAGAGAAGCCCAGATTTTTTTCGTCATCAACATTTGATGGAGAGAAATCGCAAATCCCTGATTTGAAGCTAAAGGAGACAGCTTTAACAAGTGCTCTTTTAAAGAATCAAAAACCCAGAAAATTTTCAAGTTCGGAATCATCTTCTGATACTGGAAAACCCCAAAATCCAAGTGAGTATCCAAGCAAGATTCCGAATTTCAAGCACCAAGAGATAGAGGGACCAACTGTAGAGAGAGACCTATCTGCTTTGGCCAATGAGACTAGAGAGGTACTGGAAAAGATGATGAAGAACATATATGGTCTCAGCAAAGTTATAGCTCTAATGGCAATTATTCAACTTGGACTTGGAGCTTGGATTTCGCATATTACTAAAGCAAGTCCAATAACAGAGGTATCAATTCAAAATGTTTTGGCTTTTGGGTTTACTTTTACACTTGCTTTTTTGTTGAGGCAATGTCTGAAACCAATGTACTTCTTTAAGAAGATGGAGGAGCAAGGCAGGTTACAGATTCTCACTCTGACCCTACAAGTTGCTAAAAATTTGAATGTCTTCTTTGTGAGGGTTCGTAATGTCTCTGTCTTGTGTATTGTAGGTATGTCAGTAGGATTATTGTTCAATTTGCTATCAAGATGATAGTGTTAGCGTTAATACGATTACAATAACATGCCTATTTTTGTTGAAATTGAGAAATGTATGAGTCAGAATTGGGTCTGAGATCAGAATGAACAATGCCAATTCGAGGGACCAGAAATTAGTAATAATAATCCAATTGCTATTGAGCCCTGAAACATTTTAAGCGTCTGTATTGAAGTTTCAGAAGAATTGAACTTGCTAAACCGGGCACTTGGTAAGATACAATTCCCAATTCTAAATGCACAAACAAAAGCAAGTTACTCTTTAGATATCACATATCTAATACAGCTTAACTAGGCAGCTATAGTCCCTTGATCTTACAACCAGCCCCGAGAACCCCAAATATATTTGCTAAAAGAGGAATTCTCCTAAGGATATTAACCAATTCAAAGCGTCCTCTACCATATACGGGAGCGATTCTCTTAAGAGCAACAGAATCTAAAGGATTTATATCTGCCTCGTTATCAGAATATATGCTGCGAATCATGATTCGGGCATTTCAATGCAATCTGGTGCAGTTAATATTCCGAACAGCTCAGCCATGGAATATTTGAACTGTTTGATTAAGTGGCACCTGAATTCCCATCAGGCTTAGGCACAGTTCGGACATAGGTGAGAATTGTTTGATTAAGTGGTACCTCGATTCCCAAACTAACTTACCCACTCGGTAGCCAATGAACCTATGCAAATTACAATAAAATAAATAATACCATTAAGAAAGGAGAACAATGCCACTCCAGAAGTACAATTTAATGTCTACAAATAATTACATTGCTAACAAAAAATGGTTCGAGAATCAGCATCCTCTAATGGACAACCTGTAGTATAAGAACCCCGCATAATCCAAAAAAAGTCCATCAATACTGCAAGTGCAGAAAAAAGGGAAAAAAAAAAATCCAATAGACAAGGAATTTAAAATAAATCGTCGATCAGAAAATAACTACTGGATGGAAGTATGCAAGTGGCATTACTGTCTCTTATATGTATACACTTAAAAACTACCACCAAAAGCACGTCCAAGAGTTTTTGAATCCACAGGAAAAAAAGGTAGTGTCTTTCTGAGATTCTTTGTCTGTATCAGTTTCTGGTTTTGCGTTTTTAACATCATTCTCAAAGATGGCAATGAATATTCAGAATGAATAAAAATGGGTATTGACACCATACAAAATTGAAAGGAAGAATAAAGTGTACAGGCAAAAATAAGACTATCTTACATTTCCATGATCGACTATCAAAGGATTTCTATTCCCCTTCGCTCCTAGCCAGCATAATCATGTCTCTGAAGGGAAGGTTGATTGAGCGGGGCTGCTCTGAAATTTGGTTACTTCTTCCCGTTCTTCATCTTCAAGAGCTGCATCTCCAATGTCTCTAACTTGTTCAATGGAATCTGACACATCCATTTTCACTACCACGCCAGTCAAAAAAACTTATTGCAGATTTAACTGTTACATCGTTGGCTGCTTCTTAAACAGCTTTTGTTACAGTAGCCATGGGATTTGGAACTCTAGCAATCGATTGAATCCTCCAAGGGAGGGCGATCGACTATTGATTAATTCTCCAGCAGCTGTAGACACCACACGACAATTTTAGCTATAGCAATTCTTGAAAATGTATAATGAGTATGTGCTTGTTTGCATGGTCTGTAGGGACTAGGGGAGAGAAATTATGACAAACAAGAGGAAAACAAAGATGGATAATTAGTTGGATCTTGTTTCCATGTCAATAGAGTTCCATGCTATGCAATGGGCAAAAATGGGTCCAACTGAGCCTAAGAGTTAAAAGATAATTTTAACTCAAAAACTGATAATTCATGACACAATCTTATAATACCTGGAATTAGGATACACACAAATATAATTAATTTTTTTCATATCCATATACTTAATTAAAGTCGAAGCGGACACTTTAATTAAAGAGATAAAACTTTAATTAAAGAGATAAATCTTTAAGCAACAAAATTCTTGGTTCTCAATGGGTTTGCCACTAATCTTAAATCTCGTATATAAACCTTAATTCTACGATGATCTCGCACAGAATCTTTCCTCTAAACTCTTAGAAGTCAAAATTTTTAATTTTGAGGAGCATATAATATTTAAATTTCTAATATTTAAATTTCTAAGGGATGTTAATATCAGCAATCAAATGAATTCATAAAATGTTGTGTGCAGTACACCAAACAAGAGAAACTTCATTATTTAGGATCAACTAAACCAAGCTTATTTGGTTAAATTCTTCCTATTCTTCTTCAACAGTTGTATCTTACACATCCATTTCACGACCAAGTCCATCAAATACACTTCTTGCAGATTTAATTGCTACGTATTTGCTGCTTTTTGCACAGCTTTAACTGTATGGATCTTATTTCCATATCAATAGAGAGGCCATGCTATGCTATGGGTTAAAATGGGTTCAAGTGAGCCTAAGAGTTAAAAATGATCATTTTTCAACCCAATAATTTTAATTCATGACATGATGCTAAAGAGAAAGAAAAAGGTCAATTGATGATGCCATAAACTAAAATCGACCTAAATGCAATTAATTTAATCTATGTCTGGTCCTAAACTGTAACGAAGCCCGGTACGTTAAATTAAGGAGGTGATGCTTTAAATAATAAAAATCTTGATTTATAGTAATCCTTGTATATAAACTCTAATTTTGCTGGTCGAATCGAGGTTTTAATAAAATTGCTTAGGACATTCACCAATTCTGGTAGATGTCCTCCACCACATACAGAACAATGGTTCTCTTAAGACAAAACATTTGCTACAGTGAGGATTTGGACATTTCTATGCAATCTGATGCAGTTATAATCCCATCATTTCGACAGTTGGAAAATTTGAATTGTTTGATTAACTGTTACCTGAATTCCCATCATGCTTAGTCTCAGTTCGAACATATAGATGACAATGCAGAGCTCAATGGCATTAGACTAACTTTATTGATGGCAATCAACGGTCTAGAGGGACTGTGAGAGAGAAATTATAACAGACAAAAGGAAAACAAGGATGGATGATTGGTAGAAAATTGTTTTCATAACAATATAGGGGTCATGTTATGTATGAGTTAAAATCAATTCAAGTGAGTCCCAATACTTAAAGAAAAAGGATAATTTTTCAACTCAAAAATTAATAATTCATAACACAATGCTAAAGTCATAATAAACGGCCCATTTTCGTAACTCCAAGCCTATAAAACGATAAATTAAAATCGATCTAAATGCAATTAACATCACTCATAAGCTATAAATCTAATAAGAGCGAAGTCAGCGCTTTAAATTCGAAAAGACAAAATTTTAAATAATAAAATTAAGCACAGAACAAGTATTGAAAATTTGTGAAAAAGAAACAAATCTCTTTACGTTTTGTATATAAATTATAATTCTCTTGTCTAAGTTTCTATTCTTCGTTAGAATATGCCACAATGGCTTTTGTAGTAATCTCGAACTGTCTTTTGTTTAAATTCTTAAATTCAGAAATTTTTAAATATTAAGTTTATTGTAATATTTAAATTTCTAGGGGAGATTAATATCACTAATCAATGAATTGACAATTTGTTGTGTGCAAGACACAAAACGAGATAATCTTGATTATGTTTAAGAAATTCTTACAATTCAGAAATTTTTAAATATTAAGTTTATTGTAAGTATTTAAAATTCCTTAGGGAGATTAATCATCACTAAGGGTCCAATGAAATTGACAGAGTTGTAGTTGTTGTGCAAGACACAAAACGAGGAATAACTTCATTGACCACGTAAACCATTGTGCAAGACACAAACGAGATACACCTTGACTACGTAACCATGGTTGCAAACACAAAAGAGATAATCTTGACTACGTAACCACCTAATAAAACAAGCTGCAGCCAAAAATTCCTTACACAACAGTTTGCTTTTTGGAGGCTAAGAGGAACAGCTGTTGCCGAAAAGCTCACATCCTCTATATATTATATATTTTGTTATTATGAGTATATCCAGGAGGTGCATTAAGCTTATCAAGTAATACGCTTATCAAGTAATACATTTATCATGTTTAAGTCGAAGTGACAGCACAAAGGATACCCGACTTTAACGTGCAGCAATGAAAACCCTACAACTAACCCTACGCCCTGTCCTGTTCTTGTTCTCTTCTCGATCCTTCACTGCCTGCCTTTCTCTCTCTCTCTCTCTCTCTCTCTCTCTCTCTCTTTCTTTCTCTCTCTCTCCCTCTTTCTTACTTTTTATATCTCTTTATCTAACAGTTAATTACAGAGAGAGTGTTAATCATGAGTTATAAATATGGCTGCGGATCGCACTTCACAGATGCCTGAATCTCTTGTAATAGATCACCATGGACATGGACATGGAATCAACACCGCAGGATCAAGGTAAGTTAATTACTATAATTCATCTTCAACCATTATATCTTTAAAAGGAAAATCTTATTTCCATTTTTCTTGAATATATGCATGTCTTTTCAAAGCAATTAAACAACTGTTTTACAGTTTTGAAATCTTAGTTGCATCCCAATAAAGCAAGAAGGAACTTTTCAAAGTCGAAAATTACAATTGCCTAATCATTCAAATATTTACCAACTCTCAAATTAGATGTTTATGAGTGTAAATAAATCGAACCGAATTGAATTTTAAAAAGCTTGTACACAATTTAATTTGGTTAGTTTTAATTTCAAAAAATTTGAAATTTTATGCTTACTCCAAGCAGGAGATGATTATACAAAGCCCATGAATAAACAAGACTATGTTGTATATTTCACATTAATTGGTTTTATACAAAGCCCATGAATAAAATATTTTATCTAAAAAACACGTGAATTTACCAATTTCTGAAAAGACATCAATATTTTTTTTATGCATGGAGTGTATATCCATGTGATATAAGGCTGCAGATTCTTACTTGAAGATTAGAGTAAGCATGAGACAAATAATGGGGAAGTCCAAATTAGTGACCTGTGCTATATATATATATATATATATAGTGACCTGTGCTATATATGACACGGCAGAAACATATATGACATGTTTTCCTCTGAACTTACTTATCTCTTCAAAAAAAAAAAAAAAAAAAAAAAAAAAAAAAATCTGCATATGGCAAATCAAATAGCGCGCGATTTTTTTTCCTTTTATCTCTTCTCTCGAAAAAAAAAAAAAAAAAAAAAAAAAAAAAAAAATCTCATATGGATAATTCAAAGCGCATTTTTTTTCCCTTCTCTCTCGAGCATTGATTTGGATGGTAAACAATTCATACCCATAAATGTGAGTAGACAGTTCGATTTTTGAAAAAGCATATTTCTTTAAATCAAAAAAAGCATGAACTAAATATGAATACTCAACTGTTTCGGCTAAAAAAAGCTAATCAATCAGCACAATAATTAGTTTTTCGATAATTAAGCTGATGAAGCAAATGGATCAAAGAAAGCAAACTTGCTGCTGGGATCATATCTTGCTTAATCTCATCTTTACCACAACTAAACTGTCGCATTCTACTTGCAGCTCCTTAATGCCCAAATTTTTAGCAATTTTCAAACCTATTAAAGCCCATAACTCAGCTGTTCGAACAAAGCATGAACCAAAATTAACAAGAAAACTATATATTTTCAGTTGGAAGTAGAAACATAATTTATACTTCGAAATAAAATTTTACTTTCTTATTTCGAACTTAAGAAATTAATCCAATTTTTTTTATAATTAATGTATTTATATCGGGTTAATTTCACCCATGGCAGCTCAATTTAGCACAGTGCACTTTATCTTTTTTAAATTTCATTTTATAATAGAAAATACCTACGTTTCAATTTATATAAAAATAAATATCTTTTATTAAATTCAAAATTAATCCTCGCTGGGAAGATGAACGTGGACAATATATTCGAAGGTAAATTTTCTTAAAGATAAGCAAGGGTTCATTTTTCTCCCTCATTTACGTTTCTAATAAAATTAATATTATATTATACCAATAAAATAAAATAGAAAATAAAGAAATATTATATTAATTAAAAAGTTTATATTCATAAAATGAAGATTAAATAAAAATAAAAATCTAAACTTTTTTTTTGAGTGGAAAAAATCCAACTTCTATTATAAAGAGATTGGACAATTTTTTATTTAAGATTTTTGCTGAAGAAAAGATAAAAAGTTAAACAAATGAATATTTATTTTCTTAGATTATTCAATTTTCCGATTAGAAGCATGGTAAGAGGCATTTTTCTATTCCATAAATTAAAGTTTGGATATTTTAATTATAAAATTAAAATTAAAAAATGTGAAAGTGTGCTAGTGTTAAGTTTTAAATATCTTGGTTAAAATTAACCCAATATATTTAATATAAGCGAAAATGACATTTTTTTTTATATATATATTCAGATTCTATTATTAGGGATCGTCTAATCTAGTTCGGGATATAGTCTGATAAGGCTCTTCACCTTTCCCTATAAATATATTTAGTGTGATTGAACCTGGGAGTTCTTAACAAATGTTGGGTTTGTCTTACCAACTGAGCCACAATCCGTAGGTAAAATAAAATCTATTTTTTAATATAAATGAATTTTAAACTTGTAATTGTTGAATTTGTTTAAAAATGAATTTAAAATGAAAATTTTGAATAGAAGACATGTTCTTCTTTCTTTTTTTTTCTTTTTATTTTTTTGAATACAAATTTTTTATATTCCATTTTTCTCAAACCCATACATATGCCTTCGTTTACAAAAATTAAAATATTATGTTTTCTGTCTTTTTCTTCCCCCTATTTTTCATATCCAAGGGACAAATAAGTTCTGACTTTAACTTGCAGCAATCAAAACCCTACAAGCAAGAATCTTTTTTTTTTTTTTTTTGGTTGTTTTTTTCCCCTCCTTCTGTCCTTTTTCTCTCCTATTCCCTTCTTCTTCTCTTTCTTTCTTTCTTTTTTTTTTTTCTTGCTGTTCAATCCCTTCAACTCTCTCTTAGAAGATCACCATATCCTTCTTTTTTGATATCTTTCTCGGCTTTATTCATCTTTATCATCATCCAGAATCCAGATCAAACCACAGATCTGACTTTTTCTTAATACATAAACATAAATTAATAAATATATATATAAATAGAAGTAGCTAGAACCTAACATCATTCATCAGAGAGATCTCATGCACTATAGACTAGATAGAAACAGACAAGAAAACCCTTGAAAAGAAAGCAAGAATTGCATAAAGAGCAATATGATGCAAGGAAAGAGGCCATTTTCTTGTGATGTGTCATCATCAAATGAGCTTGGAGAGGAAGATCATCACATTTCAAATACCCATCAACCCTACCTTGATCAAGCCCAATCGGTTAATCTTGAGTCTGGTAGGATTGAACATCGATCTTCTCAACCTGCAAATGATGATCATCAAGGTACATAATTTATAAAATCAAAATGTCATGCACGTCTACTATACGCACCTACCTTATCTTTTGTTTTTTTTTTTTTTTTTTTTTTTTTTTTTTTACGAGATCTCGTTCAATGCACTAGTAGACTAGAGTGAGAACGACAAACGGAAAAAACTCCTTGAAAAAAAAGCGAAGATGCATAAAGTAAGCAAATGGGCAAGGAAAGGGAGGCCATTTTCTTGTGATGATCACATCATCAAAGTGAGCTTGAATAAGAGGAGGAAGATCATCACAATTTCAAATACCATCAAACCACTACCTTGTAATCAAGCCCAATCGGTTATCATTCTGAGTCTGGTAGGATTTGAACATACGATCTTCTCAACCTGTCAAATGATTAGCTTCATCATACGGGTACATTAATTCTATAAAATCAAAGATTGTCAGCACGGAGTACTATACGCACCACCTTATCTTGTTTTTTTTTTTTTTTTTTTTTTTTTTTTTTTTTTTTTTTTTTTTTTCTGATTTTCAGTATTTTAACTTGATTTTTGGAAGGTGATAGTATAATGACTCTTCTTAAAGTTTTTTTTTTCTGAAATAATTTATGATTTTTAGTGAATTTTTGTGCACTATGTTCATTAACTTGTTCAATATAAAAATTGTGATCCATGATTTGGCAAATTAATTAGGAAACATTTATTCCCTTTCAATTTTGATTTGTTGGATTCACACCGAATAGATCCGTTATATTATATTTTCTTGAGTTGCATTTAGCTAGTCAGCTAGCTAGGTCTTAGAAATGGAGTCAAGAGATTAAGAATTGAATCCTGACAATTTCTTTCCTTTGAAAAATATCTTCTAATGTACTAAAAAGGGAAAATTTTCATTTCAAACATTAACTTTGAGTTATCTATAGAATTTGATCTAACTATATATATATAAGGATGAAATATGTTTTGTGAAGGGAACATCAAAAGAAGACACTATAGAGGAGTAAGGCAAAGACCATGGGGAAAGTGGGCGGCCGAAATCCGAGACCCAAAAAAGGCTGCTCGTGTCTGGCTTGGAACCTTTGACACGGCAGAAGCTGCTGCTATTGCCTATGACACCGCTGCTTTGAAATTCAAAGGATCTAAAGCTAAGCTCAACTTTCCTGAACGTGTTCAAGTACCATCAGGATCTCATAATAATTTAGGTCTCTTGCCAACAACTAACCAAAACTCACTACTTCTTTTTCCTAACAATAGTAACTACAATGTCATTTCTCCTCCGCCACCTCTTCCACCACTACCACCACTTCCTCCTCCGTCTGTTCCGCTGCTGCCATTGACACCTCAAGAAGCTTTTCCAAACCTTTTTCAGTACGCGCAGCTTCTTTGCAGCAATGATGACAGTTATCTACAATATGCTGCTGCTTCGGGTCTGTATGATAATAACACTAGTAGTAATTTATGGATGAGTTCGTTATCTTCTTATTCTTCTTCTTCTTCTTCATCATCATCATCAATTGCTCCCCAACAACAACGAGAAGAAGATTTTTTGAGGTTTTCGCCGCAAATGCCAGCTTCAGGTTTTTCTTCTGATTATTGGTCAAATAACAGTTATTTTCTTGATCAGGAGAGGGACTTCGATAATATTAGTCCCAAGAAATAATGCATTACATAGCTAGGGTTTCATCGTGATCATGATCATGACTCTCCATAAGCAATCAGCTAGGTTTCATGAGATAATGTGAGCTTCAGGAATGCATGCATTGTAATAAAGTTTCATTATTTTATGAAGCTTAATTTTATTGAAAATTTCTTTTAAGAAATTTTCAGGCTCATACTGGAGCCCTAGGTTTTACATAATTTATGGACAACTCACACTCCATTAATGAGAAATTGATTAGGAGGTCTTGGGTTTAAATCTTGGATGGAATGGAACGAGTTATTAAAATTGAGAACTCTAATGTACAACTCATTTCAATTTCAATATATGTCAAGAGACAGAATTTGAATTAGCTCATGAAAAGAAAGAATTTATTGTATCATTTCGTGTGTGCTATATATATATATTTTTGTGATGTTTCAGTTGATCATTGCGTGATGAATGTGGGAAGCTTGTTGAAATTCTTCAATTTGTGATTTTATTTGACGTAATGGAGTTGAAAACTTTAGCAATTTCATATTGGCCAACGAGGTATTTGCAATTTAAATCTCTTTAGCTGATAATTTTAGACTTATGCCATTCATGTTAATACCCTCTTTATTTGTAAATCTTATCCAACATAATCAATTCATTCGTTATAACCGTCTTCATATATTTATTTCCAGCTATATATTTATTTTTGGAAAAAAACTTGTCTAGATCTGGACTATGTCCTACCTATGGATCAATAAAATGAAATTAAAACTACTTTTCTAAAAAGTGTTTCGATTTTATCTATTTTTTCTAAATGTATGGTTAGAAATACTCATGTTTCAATAAAAATATTAAATTTCATTGGTCTGGTCCATAAATGGAGAGATGAATCTAATAAGTTTTTTCCTTATTTTTGACACCAACGTAGCCTTAAAAAATTATACACAAGTGACATAGCAATAATAGAGGACTGATCAAATTATCAAACAATCAATTCTCGAACCAGGCAAAAGATCAATATGACTAGGCAGTGGAACAAAAGGTGTGGAAGCTTCTTCACATGCTAATGAAGCTTAAATGAAAAGCATAAAAGTTGCTATATTAACATTATTGGTGGATTTTGCAATTTGGAAGCTAATATAAAATTATACTATATTGGATGTGACAGTTAATTGGACAAAAATGAAGCTAGGTTCACCAAAATGAAGCTAGGTTCACCTCCCTTAGCTAGTGTGGGACAATGATAGAATCATGTAGCGTTGAGATAGCATTTGAAGGGTCACTTTTGCCATCTAAAGCAAATAAAGAGTGCTTTCGGCTCTTTGGCATTGTATTTCAATAATTGCGGCTATGTTGGTTTCCGTCATTTGATCTCTATCGTCTACTTCAACATCAGACAGTCTAACCAGCTCTGATTGCTACCACTCAAACCTATTTATTAATTTGTACAACTCAATGCACTTTTTTCAAATATACTTATTTATTTATTTTTGAGAATTAAAATTCACCTCTGCTGGCTTAAAATTAAGTCTTTATTCAAAATATATGATTTTGTAATCTTTCTCTTCAACTAATATTTGAGGATGGAGTTAGGTCAGGTCCATTTTATAATATGGTATGTAAATCTATCCTACTTCAATGTAGGTCACCGCTCATGTGTTCGTCTGTAAACTTCATGCGCCAGATGTTTATGCCTGCACTAGGGAATGCATTATCTCACATTAGTTTGAGATGGGTCTTTACTCAGAATATAAGATTTGGATAATTCTATTCTTTTTAAACTAGTTTTTGGAGATAAAGTTATGCTCAATCCACTTTATAATATTAGACTCGCTTAGACCAGGTTTATAATTTCTTTCATGGACCTAACAAATTAAAATATAAATTTTTAAAAATTATTTTACTTTTTTTCAGTGTATAATTAGAAATATTCTAATTTCAAAAAAAAAAAAATTTTTTTAAAAATCGTTCTTAAATATAATTTTTTAAAAAATCGTTCTTACTTTTTTTTATTGTATGTTTAGAAATATTCTAATTTAAAAAATATATAATTAATTTTCATTTATTTAATTTATAAATGGGACTATAGATTCCGTCAAGATAAGTTAGTTGGAAAAGTCATCTCTTTTTGTCTTAATTGCATTTAAATATATAATTTAGAGACAAAAAGAAATCGTGAAACTAGTAATAATGCACACATGCTTAAATAGATCTTGAAGCATGGTGTTAGCCAAAAGAAATTACAATGACATGAAAAGGGAAATAATACACATGCCAAAGTTGCTGTCGGTCGGATTTGAGGTTTCATCCTTCCTATATAATTCAAAAATAAGTAAACTATTTCCCATTTATTAGCAAACATTATTAGTTCATCAAAAGAAATTCTAATCAAACATATTTTGTATAATGGTAAACTATTTCCCACACATTTACATATTATGTAAATAATTTGAATTGTAGATCTATTTTATGAAACAAAAAATTAGTTAAAAGAAATTATTAAAAAAGTTATTATACAAAAAAATGTGAAATAATATTTTTTTAGCTTTTTTTTTTCTTTTTAACATCTTTAGTTGACATTTTATTTGAAAGATTTGTGATAAAAATGATTAGAATCATTTCTCAATATTATAAAACTTTGAGATGAGAATCTTTTAAACTCTCTGAATATGATTCGATTCAATTAAAAAAAAAAAAAAGAACTAGTTTACTCCATTTATTTACTTAATTTATTTCTATATATCATTTTCTTTTTCTCTCTTTTTTTTTTTTTTTTTATATCTTAATCAAACATATTTTTGGATAACGATTTAATGGTGTAATACTATTTCCAACATCTTATTAAAGCTATTATGTAAATTATTTTGAATTGTAGATCTATTTTATGGGAAACAAAAAAATAGTTAAAAAGAAATTATTAAAAAGTTATTATAACAAAAAAATGTGGAAAATAATATTTTTTTAGCTTTTTTTTCTTTTTAACACTTAGTTTGACATTTTATTGAAAGATTGTGATAAAAATGATTAGAATCATTTCTCCAATATTATAAACTTGAGATGAGAATCTTTTAAAACTCTTCTGAATATGATTTCGATTTCATTAAAAAAAAAAAAGAACATAGTTTACTCCATTTATTAACATTAATTTATTTCTATATATTCATTTTCTTTTCTCTCTTTTTTTTTTTTTTTTTTGACTGCATGTTGTATAAAAAATTTTTTTTTTTTTTTTTGACTTCATGTTGGTATAAAAAGAAAATTATGAGAATTTTTTTTTTTAAATTGAATCAAATAGATATTTCTTTGTCACATTATTTAATTATAAATTTTTTATTTTTTTATGATAAAATATTTCATCAAAAAATTTATTCTTTTATAATATTCAATTGATAAAATAAAATATAACAAAATTCAGCAATAAATTATATAATTATCCCTTTTAAACGGTGAGCAGGTAATGGGTTATTAGTTCCGGGTCTCTTTGGACCACACCGTTCATAGTTCAAAGCCTGAGCCCAAAGATGGCAATTTGGGCTGGTATCATTCTCATGCTATGCGTATCAAAATTACGATGTTATTAGAGATTTTTCCCTCATGGCCCGAGGGAAGGTAAACTATCAAGAATGTGAAGTCAAAGATCGAAAGTCTAGAAGTGCGATTGAATTGGCAACACATGATTGGCACGTGAAAAGAGTTATCGAATTCAATTTTTTACTAAATGCATTTATAGAGATGACCGGTGAGCTTTAATTATGTCTAAGTCTCGAGCCGGATTAAAAGGTCTCTATTAATGGGTTCTGAATACTGATAATTTACAAAAAAAAAAAAAAAAAACTCTGAATACTGGGATATTTTACAAAAAAAAAATAAAAAAAAAAAACTCGGACTTTTATACTTAAAGGCCAAACCGGCTCCATCATTTAAACGATGATAAACTTTAACCTCATACCCTATTTGTGTAAGTATCTAAGGAAATGAAATGAAATTTGCAAAAATATTTGAACTTTAAAAATTTAACAGAAAAATTTCCAAATAATTAAATTGAAAAATTGTTATTTTTAAACTTAAAATTAAATGAGCTTCAAATTAACAAAAATAGCAATAAATTTAAATCTTTGCTAGAAAATAGGTAAATTTTACTATTTGAACCATTAATAAAACTACTATTGCAAATCCATCAATTGTGTGACCTAATTATTTTCTTCTTCTAATTATAATTTTAATTAGTTTGAAAAAAACGCTGAAAAAAAAAAAAAAAAAAAAAACTCGACTTTTATACTTAAAGGCCAAACCGGCTCCATCTTTAAACGAGATAAACTTTACTCATCCTATTTGTGTAAGTATCTAAGGAAATGAATGAAATTTGCAAATTTTGAACTTTAAATTTAACAAAATTCCAAATAATTAATTGAAATTGTATTTTTAACTAAAATTAAATGGCTCAAATTAACAAAAATAGCAATAAATTTAATCTTTGTAAAAATAGGTAAATTTTTCTTTTGAAATTAATAAAACTACTATGCAATCCATCAATTGTGACCTAAATTTTCTTCTTCTAATTATAATTTTAATTAGTTGAAAAAACCTGAATTTACTCTATTTGATTGAGAATAATGATTTTTATTTTATGCAAAATTATCTAATTTTACTTGAGAAAAAAAAAATAAGGGTCCTCGATCCTTATATTTGATACGCATACGTGTCAAAATCAGATTCACTCCTTGAATAAAACCCGGTCACTGATCGCTCTTCTGATCATCTCTCTTTCACGTTCCAAAGATCTCGCGAAGCAAGACGACGCCACTTGCCGTTCAGAGTGAGAATTGGATCGAACGGAGAATCAAAACATTTGCAGGAGAGAAATTTGTAGAAGATGTTGAGAGTCGCAGTGAGGAGGCTTTCTTCTATCTGTTCGACGCAGCCGTCGTGGAGGCCCAATCAGGCTGCCTTGTCAATTGTTTCCAGCAATCCGATCAACAGCGGCGATTCATCCTCCTCAGACGAGATTAAATCAAAAGTCTTGAAGGATTACTTTGCTTTCCGGCCTCACTTCCACCCTCCTCAGAGAGGTTTGAGTTTTCCTCTTTACTTTTCTAAATTTAGGTTTTTTTTTTTTTGGTTTAATGTTATGAGGATAATCTGATGTTCTCGGTTTTAATTTAAGAACACTTTGGCGGGTTATTTTTCTGCGTTTAGAGCTTTATTAGGGATTCAATTGTTCTAATGAAATTATTGCAATTTGTTGTCTATTTATATTTGCTTAATTATTAACATATGTCGTTAGTTTTCTAGGGTATTATGGCATGATAAAGCTTGGGAATGTCATTGTTATTGTCGTATTTATAAGGAAAGAAGAATGGGAAGAAATGGTTAAAACTTCTCAAAATATATTTCCTGAAGAGAGTTTATGCTTCCTGGTGTAAATGAATTTAGAGTATGGAATTCATTTATGAATATAGAATTTAGGTTTAGTTGTACAGAATTTCAAAAAATTTTAGTTTTTACTAGATAAATAAACATTTTCATTTATACCAAAAATGAAAACCTTAAAGTTTCTAAGGAATTGCATTAAATGTTGCAGAATTCATTTATACTAAACTTGTAACATATAACATCAACAGCAGCCAAGATATTGTGGGTATTTGAGAATTTGATATTATTGAATAGTTTTCAATGTTACAATGTTACTTAGGATTCATCTTGAGACCATGATTTTTTCTTATTTGTTTCTTCACTTTGTCTCCATTGGTTGTTGTTTTATATCCTACTACTTTATGAAACTAAACAAATAGGAAGCAAAAGCTTTTCCTTCTAGTGATATAGACATGTTAGAGATATTGTATGTTGGATTAAAGTAATTAGATATCAATTTTTGATCTTCTGGTTTTAAGTTCTTAATTAGAATAATATTTGGGTCATAACTCGTAACTTTGTCGCAGAATATTGGAAGTAAGTAAAATTTGTAAGTTCTACTTCAATATGCATTAGTGGTTACAAATGATGGGAACTCTTAATTCAAAAAAAACAGGTGCAAAGTTATAAACAGTTTTGAGCTAAGTATTGCTGTATTGTTACATCAGAATTTGGAATTTTTCAATAGTTCTTCCCTATTCTCTTTTGTCAACATGATCAGCTCACACCTTGAATGTGATTCCTATTTTCTAGAAGTCAACTGTCTTGACTCATAGTTTTCCTTTTGAGTCTTTTTCGAGAAAGTTTTAAGCTCTTAATTAAAACCAATGGAAGATTTGGTTTTTGTTTAAACAGGAACTAGGACTGTTGATAGACATTCTATTCACCCATGTCTCGGAAACAAGTGCTCATATTAGCTCAGAGAATCTATTTGCTAACTTTTCTTTCTCAGTTTTAGATGGTTTGTGATGATGGTTTTATTCTGCATAGTGTGTGTAATTTGCAACACTGATAGATGAGGAATCTATCTGCAACAATGGATTATGTGCTCCAATTCCCATTTTGTAATTTACAAAGACCTAAAACAGAAATGCTGCTGATCATGGTGTGAAGAAGAATGGGGTAGTTCAGAAGCATTATGTTTGCTTGAGTTGGTAGCATGTTAATGGAGTTGTCTAGTAATTCATTTTTAGTGGCATCCTAAAGCTGTTCGTTGTTTCTTCTAGAATAGACAGTTGTGAAGGATAAATCATATATGCATCTAACAGCATGTGCTATCTGTTGAAATTAGACAATTTGCACCTTTTTCCTGCTGTTATATTCCTCTATAAGTCGAGACATGTCTTTTATCTTTCAGCCATGTCACAACAGGACAGTTGTTCACGTTGTGAGGACTTGTGACAGGGATAGATTATTCTTGGTTTCAGGTTTCTCTTCTGGATCACTCACTCCAAGAAATGAAGATGGCATAATTTCAGATGTTCCAGCAACAGTAGCAGCTGTTAAGAACCCTACTTCAAAGATAACCTATGACGAGTATAACCATGAACGATTCCCTCCAGGTGATCCCAGCAAGCGAGCATTTGCCTATTTTGTCCTTACTGGTGGCAGGTTTGTTTATGCTTCAGTGATCCGTCTCCTTATCCTCAAGTTTGTGCTGAGTATGTCTGCCAGTAAGGATGTCCTTGCACTTGCCTCTCTTGAGGTTGATCTCTCAGGTATTGAGCCAGGTAGCACTGTGACAGTTAAGTGGCGTGGAAAGCCAGTTTTCATCAGGCGCCGAACAGAGGATGATATCAAGCTGGCGAATAGTGTCGATTTGGCATCTCTTCGTGATCCACAGCCAGATGCAGACAGGGTCAAGGACCCAGAATGGCTAATTGTCATTGGGGTTTGCACGCATTTGGGTTGCATTCCCTTACCAAATGCTGGTGATTTTGGTGGCTGGTTTTGCCCGTGCCATGGCTCACATTATGATATCTCTGGTAGGATTCGCAAGGGTCCAGCACCATACAATCTGGAGGTGCCTACTTACACCTTTTTGGATGAAAACAAGTTAATGATTGGCTGAGGTTTATACTTCACTGAAACATGTTAATTTGGGGATAATTTTTTTTTTTTTCTTAATTGAATCTGATAATGTCGAAGAGTTGTTGCATATCTTGTTTTGTGCCCCAATTTATATGGGACGTGTTTATTTTTTAGGGATGTTATGCAACTTATTTGAGATATCATTGTAAACTGTTGCTGTCAGAGCTGCTCGTAATTCTGAATAAGCTACTTTTGTCAAAGCATGAATCTCGTTGAAACGTGATGGTGGTTTCAGGATAGTTACTGTTAATTATTTTGTTCAGGCCTATTCCACCTGTTTGAAATGGAAGTTGAAATTGCCTGTTTATAAAAACACCATGTTAAAATGTTGTCGTAGAGAGCAATTTGGAGATATTGTTTTAACTGTTTTGAAGTCTTTAATACTGAAAACATATGAAGTTCACCTTCATAACAAACTTTAACAATCTATGATCAAAATTTCATTTGCATGTCTAGTTGTTTAGAGATGTAATGAGCTGAAGTGATACTTTTTAGTTTTTATTTTGGAGAGCACAGCAAAATGTACCAAAAAATGTTCTTTTCTTTTGGATCATTGGCAGTATTGAATTTTATACTGCAAAGACTTAATGCTAGCCCAATAACTCAAAACAATTTGAATGATTGATTATATTTGAAAAGTTACATGTTATGAATAACTATATGCTTATCAAAATTTTCAAGCCTGAGAACCAACATTTCCTAATTGCTAGTCCATTGAGCCCCATTGGCATGAATTTGACGCTTCAGCTTTTAAGCTTCATTGTCATCTCTCAAAGATGCCCTTCACATAGACCATGCCTTTTTCACTAAGCTGAAGCTCTTTTCTCATTTCCTCTACTTGTTGGTCATCTCCTTGAACTATGATCTCCGATAAGGTCCCATCTTCTGCAACGATCATTTTAACCTTGATCTGCTCCTTTCTCGATGCCTGCTTCCAGTAATAGGCTCCTCTGCATTCCGTGCTAAAAGCGTTAGTACTAAATATATATCAATTTCATTTGTGAACTAAAATGTCAAGTCAGCTTAGCTTCTTCACTTACGCTAACGGACTTAGAATAGTTATCCAGAACCAGTTGTTGCCAAAGTCTGGAAAAGTTATAGTAAGCACAAGAGCAACACTTGCTAAGCTTATGCAGGTGCAGAATGTAAGCAATGCTGCTTGACCTCGGCTTGGAACCATCATGCCTTCAAACCTACATAAGAATAGAAAATGTAAATGCAATAATCAAGATTAGATTTGGATCAAGAAGTCATATTTTATTTCAATGGGAGAAAAGTTAAAAAAAACAAAAATCCTCCATTTATTTTCTCAGTTCTCTTTTTTCTCTCCCATCTTCCTCCCAAATCAGAGAAATTGGATACTTGTAAAGCCAGTGATTCAGTATTTGTTTTACATGATTAGTCTTTTTAGGATGCGTGTTTTACTTTTGTATTATTTCCATAATAACTCATTTAAATAAATTTAAATATCAAATATAATTCTCGAGTATATATTAAAAAGTTGAATATATATATATATATATAATTTTAGACTCCTGTATAAACAACTATCTGCTAAAAGCCAACGCTTTCCCTAACAACTAACAACTACTGCATAAGCTAACAAAAGACACTAAAAAAAGATAATTAGGAATTTAATTAATTAGCTTACGTGATGGTCTCTCCTCTGTCAGCAACAGCAAAATTATTTCTTGTAAAGAATGACAAAATCTCTCCAGCCACTTGATTCGGTGCTTTCTTCCCTTCTCCTTCACCTATAAATGTCTTTTGCACAATCTGCAATTAAAAAATTTTAATTTCAATTAACCATAATTAATGAATTAATTAATCTACAAAACCCATGCATGAATATATACCTTAGACTTAACAGAGCGCTTAATGAGAGACCAAAGCCCAGGGACTGAGATGACGAATAGACCCAATGAAGTGTAATAGCTAGCCAATGAGTAACCAGCACTCTCTGCTACTAAAAAGATGGAGTTTTGGTTCTGATTATAATGGTGAAGCTGTTCCATTAAAGCAGAGGAAGATGAAGAAACGTGTTCGTGAAGCGAGACTACTCGACCCACCTGTGACTGCGATTGCTGCCTCTTGCGGAATGTTAGGGCTCGAGCCTGTCCTCCTAGCCATAGTTGGTGATGGTGGCGAGTGAGTTCTTTAGGATAAGAAATGGAGGAGAAGAAAGAAAGTGAAAGTAATTTAGCTGTTGCTGCCATTTTTGTGTTTGCAGAGCCGAAAAGGAAAGGGATTGGGATTTTTGAGGTAAGCACCTTATGGTCCACCTTGATTGTGTTGGTGGCGGATGATCAGCCAAGTGAATGGTCCAGATTTTTCAAATTAAATTGATTAGAGTTTAAAGTAAAATGATTCACATTAAATGTGAATATTAATTTTAAACTATTTAATTATTTTATTAATTATTTATTTGAATCATATAATTATGTGATGTAAATATTATATGCATTAAAATTTCAATTTTTTCTAAAATACAGAGAGTAAAAAGTATCGAATTCGAGTTTTTTCCATTATAAAATTATTTACATGAAAGTAATCTATTATGAAAAAGAACTATTTAAACTTTTCACATCATTTTATAAGTTATTATATATATATTAGATAAAAATAAATTACAATTTGATTTCTATCATTTATTATTATTTAGGACAAAATATTTCAAAAATAAAATTCCACTATGAGAAATATATTTCTTTACCTATAATTTTAGCGGTCATGTCAATGAATATGTTATTAATTAATAACAATCTTTTGAACCATGATTTTTATATTTTTTTTATGAATATGATTTATTTAACTTTATAGTTCATTTATTTATTTTGTGAAAAATTAGCAATAATAATATTATTATTATTATTTTGTATAATAATAATATTTGATACCATATTGTTTTGAATAACCATTATTATTATTTTGAGCAACAATATTTGGCTCAAAATATTTATGTCACGTATATTTTTTATGTGCAATATTAATATAAGCAATAATCAAAAGAATTTTTTTCAATTTAATAATTTTTGAGATACAATCTTAATTTCTTCATTTTACAATTTTATTTTCAATTTTTTAATTTTAAAATAAACTTTAGTTTGCAGTATTATATTATAATTAAAAGTGAGCTACAAATAATTATTGAAAAGAAATTCAATATATTTATCCTACTGATTAATATGTTTTGAATTTTTTTTTTTTAATTGAGTCGTAGAAAATCCTACTATAAGAAAATAATAAAACGTTTACTTGGGACCTAAAAGTCTACGCAATGCAAAGTCTTCTCCTCCAAAATTCTATATTACAAAATTTTGACTGGCTTATCCTTTTGCACGAAGCCGAGCCACCACCAAATATTTTACAATGTCTAATTGTACAATCTTTTTTTTTTTTTAGAATTTATTTATATTTTTCTATTAGAAATTAAATTCAAAAATTCAAATAAATATAATTTTATGTTTAAAAATTAAATGTATACTTATTATTTATATTTTTCTTCGTCATCTTTCTCCCTCTCTCGCTCTTTTTTCCAACTTTGAAAAATTAATTAGGATATTATAATAATAGAGGTCCTAATCCAATATGGTATAATGTAAAGTAAAAGGATATAATAGTTGAACAACTAAAATAAAAGGATTATTAAATTAATTTTCAAAAATACAAGTGTTAAATAATACTATAATAAGTAGATTGATTAATAATTCATCCTATGTATATGATAAGTATAATTAATTAACATGTTATAATATGTATAAATAAGACATTTATTATTATTATTATTATTATTGTAATACGTATAATTAAGACATTTATTATCATTTATTCTTATTAGATCAATTCATAAATGATATGGTAAGATTTGTGTTGGCTTCTCTTACTAGAATGTGGCTTGTCCATCACTTGATCCTCAAGCGGGCTGGAAATTCATTTAAGTTAGGTAAAGACATTTTCAATGGCAAAAAAAAAAAAAAAAAAAAAAGAACAACTAAACCATAAAGGATTAATTAAATTAATTTTTCAAAAATTACAAGTTGTTTAATATAATACTATAATAAGTACCGATTGATTAATAATTCATCCTATGTATATGAATAAGTTTATAGATTAATTAACATGTTTATAATATGTATAACAATAAGAACATTTATATTATTAGTTATTATTATTATTGTAAAAACGGTATAATCTCAAGACATTTATTATCTTTATTCTTATTAGATCAAATTCATAAATGAATATGGTAAGATTTGTTGTTTGGCTTCCTCTTAAACTAGAATGTGGCTTGTCCATCACTTGATCCATCAAGCGGGCTGGAAATTCATTTACAGTCTAGTAAACGACATTTTCCAATGGGGCAAAAAAAAAAAAAAAAAAAAATAAAAAAAAAATAAAAATCACAAAATAAAATTTGATAAATTTGATTGGAAGATTATATATAAAAATTTAGTAAAAAAAAAATAAAAATAAAAAATAAAAATTTTGATAATTTGATTGGAAATTATTAAAAATTTATTTTTAAGCTTAATTTTTTTTTTTTTATACTTGCACGAGAGGAGAGTTTGCATTACGGAATATTGAATTCATGACCTAAACCATAGTGATCAACCTCGCAAATGCTCTTTCCCACTGAGCTACCTCATTCAGGTTATTTTTAAACTTAATTTGGTGTATATTGGTTATAAATTAGTTTATTGGTTAAGAGTATATTTGATATTACCTTTTAAGCTATTCCTAAAATTTTAGTTAGATATCACTAAAATTTGTTTTAAGATAAAATTTACCATGTTTTATGAAAGTAGAAATCAACTACACATTTGCAATTAACTTTTTCAATAAATTCAGGAGGATATCATTGAATCAGATTCAAAAAATGCTATATATTGAATATCTCAAAAGGACAAACGTTTTTAAAAGTGATGGAAACATTTCAATAATTTGATGCGATGTTAGAATCTACGGTCAATATCTCTTTTCATCGTGTGATTCGAGAGAGTAACCATTTTGCTGATAGTTTGGTTAAGATATGTGTCGATATAACAATACCATTTATTGCTTGGATTTGATTTTTACTATTGAGGCTATATGATATTTTTCTTCAATTGTTTCTGTTTTCTTTTCTTATTTCGAAAAGAAACTTCAAGCTGATTTATAGTTTATCAGACTTTTTCACTAAGCTTTTACGAGTTAGGATGGATGTATTGGGGAGGTCTGATGATCCAGTTTAGATACTTGGCTATATTAATTTTTTTTCGAATTTTAATAATAAAAAAAATTTATGATAAAAAAGTCATTTCAATTACAATATATATTCTTAGATTATATTTTAATGAGTCATAATGGAATATAAATATAATCTAATCTAAAGCATTATACATGTATTAGCAAATAGACTTCAATCGTTTTATTTTTTATTTTTTAAGAGCTAAAATAAAATGTCTAAATCTTTATTTAACACTCATTATGTTAAAACATAAATTGTATTCTTTATACCACAATAATAAAATGTTTGAACCCAACAATAATAGGAGAATTCATATAAAAAGATGTGTCATCAATCATCCATGGATACGTTTATACATTAATACTAGTTCCATCTCCAACACGCCATGTAAGCCCTTACTTGAACGTATTTTGAGACTGCAAAATACTTCTTCATATTAAATTCAGATTACTCCATAAAAAACAGTATAATAACAATATTCACCTGAGAAATATTTAGATTTGGTGATCAACGAAGTTGGAAATAGTTCTCCAACCTTGTTTACCCGCTATAGCCAAATTAAAGATGTGCAAATGACTAAAGATCATACCCTTTTAGTTTTGTTAAAACACACATGTTTCAAAGTAGAGCCAATGAATATAATTCTTGAAATTCACCCATAAATTTCATTACTTTAATTTTGTGGTATTCTAAATTTTTATTTTGATCTATTAAATATTTAAATTTTTAAAATTACACTATTAAATATGTTAACGTGCAGAATTATTTTATTAAACATTTCAATTTGTAAAATTAGATCGATTAAATATTTATTATATAATTAAAATATATGAAAATTATTGCCATAAAAATTATGCTAACTACACATCAAATAAATACTTTGCATATTCAAATTAAAAATGCTAAAAATTATTACTATTAGTATGAAAAAATTTACAATATTACTAAAATTTGTAAATTTAAATGTACGGATGTTATTCGTAGACTTGGGTGCCACAGGGGGGGGGGGGGGACTAAAATTTGTAAATTTAAATGTACGGAATGTTATTCGTAGATTTGGAGTCCGAGGGAGAGGGTGGATTTTATGTTTTACTGGGTCTCGTTATGCACGTTTTAAAGCCTGTCACCCCCTTATCCATGAAATGGGGGGGGGGGGTGAATTTTATGTATTTGGTCTGTAAAATAACGCACGTTTTTAGCCTGTCACCCCCTTATCCATGAAATAAAGATTTTTTTTTTTTTCCTGGGAAAAAATTATGCTGGACAGGGTAGATTATAAAAGAGAGAGAGAGAGAGAAAAAAAAATTGCTGTGGCTAGTTGGTACCATTGGCTATAGGCTAAAACGAGCCATGGCTAGAGCAAAGCCGCGCCCGAGCGCGCGAATGAACGATTCAATGTTCACCATAACCGTTCCGAGAAACCTCACTCGTCTGATCTTTCTCTAATCTCTCCCTTGTGGTGTGTGTGCTTGTCTTTGTATAACCCTCTCTCTCTCTATCCTTGCTCTCTCAACACCTAGCAATTATACAATCCGATTATACCAAACCAAATAAACCTATCTCTTCTTCTCTTTCACTCTCGCCGATGGTATTTGTGGTTTAATATCATTACTCTTACCTTTACGGCGTCGAAGGATTTATTAACTAGGGCTGTCGAGAGCAAAAGCATTGAGACTTTAAAGGGTATGGTTTGATTTTTTTTTTAAATTCAATTTTTTAGGGTTTCGCTATTTCCAATTGGAAAGGAGTTATTTTGCCCTATTTTTGGTTAATTATATTCTGTTTCTTCCTTTGATTTTCGGTGTAACTGGAATTATGGGGTAATGTTTTTGGCGTTAATTTGGCTTTTTGGTGTTAAACGATTTTGGGTTGATTGATGTCTTCTGGTCCTTGAAATAAAAATTAAGCTTCTTTATGGGTTGCATTGTTATATAGAAGGAGATTGTTTTGAGGTATGTTTTATTTTTTTTTAATGATATTGTGCTTGGAAGGTGAGGGAGGGGATTTTGGTATCTAGCAAGTATAATAATGAATCGAAATGTTTTATCGGAAAGATAATTTATCAAAATCCTATCTTTCTCTCGATTATAAATGCTTAATTTTTCAGAATAAATGGAAAATTTTGGATTTTGAACTGTTAGTTAATATTTACCTTAGTCATTGGTGCCTTGGCAATTTACACTTGTACTGCCAAGGGTGAGCAATAAAGTTGGTCCCCTGTTTTCTCTCTTCATTTTTCTCCCCCAGACTCGTTATTCTAAACCATAAATATTGTTGCACTTGGCTGGCTTTATTTGAATTTGACATCAAATTCAATCTGACATTAAGTGCTTGAGTTGAGTGGCAAATCTTTCTAACTCAACACTAGTCTTCTTGCATTCATGATGCGTTTTTTTTTTTACTATATTCTGTTGGGTTTAAGATTGTAGTTGTGCGCACCTGGTTCATGATTGAGGACTGATTTACTTCCATTATTGGATGGCTTCTAATGGTATAGCAAAAACCCGGAACTGCATTTCCTATTTACTTGTTTGTATAAACTGAAAATTATACCATTTCTGAAAATTTGGTTAATGCCTGTCAAGACAGGAGATTGCCTCCTCTGGTGCTTTGAAATAGCCCAAAGGCTAAAATAGTTTTAAATGTGTATTTATATTGGAAAACGCTAATTAGAAGTCTTTGTCTTTTCATCATGATTGTCATTATGTTGAATTTTTTGGGTCCGCATAAATAAGCATTTTGAATGAATATGTTCTACATTGGACTTCTTTCATAAATATGGCTGTTTCATAAATATTATTATGATATTTTAAGATTATGGTTGTTTCACTATATTCCTACTAATAGATACATGGAAAATTTTAAGATTATTGCTAATTGAAATGTTCTTTCAAATGGTTGTTTCAGTTAGCATATGGAGGGAAGTGTTCGTTAACTGTGATCAGTATATTGGTATAATTATCTGCTGAGGATTGATTGACATCTTGTGCCAATGGCGGCTGATCATCGAAGAAAAAGGCTTAATGGTGCCAGCATATCAGGTTGTAGTTCTTGGGAGCAATATAAAACCAAAAAGAAAAAATTGGAGTCACCAAAAAATGAGTTGAATGCAAAGTCTCATATTTCTCTTGAGTGGGATGGCAACCGAAAACAGGTTGTTGCCAAAAGGGAACAAATTGGTTTGAGTCAGAAAGATTTGAGGACATTTATTGATCCTGCTCCTCAGCGTCACAGTATCGTAGCAGATGTCCTTGCCATTCCTCAAGAAATTTTTGAGGTGAAGAATTTGAAAGAGGTGCTTTCATACGAGGTAATTATAATTCTATGATTATTGTTAACTATCGTGCATATAATTTTCTTTCTCCAAACCTAGGCTATATGCATTTATGCTTGATACAGGTTTGGCGGACCCATTTATCGGAAAATGAGAGAAAATATCTTAAACAGTTTCTACCTAGAGGATCAGATGCAGAAGAAGTTGTGCATGCATTGCTTTCTGGGGACAACTTTCATTTTGGAAATCCTTTCCTCAAATGGCAAGTTTGATATACAATGTTAATTTTGTTAAGAATGAATGGCATCATTTTGTGAAACCTAGTGAGATTTAGTGCAAGGGCAAGTGTCGGTGAAAAGTAAGGTTCCTCCTCAGTGACTGGAAATCATGGGTTAGAGTCTGGGAAAACTTCTCTGCAAAAAGCTTAGGGGAGGCTGTGTCTGATATTTGATCCTTCCAAGGAACCTTGCATGGCAAAAACTATGTACTATAATACCGTTTATGGAGATTTAGTACATTAAAACAGAAATTCAAAGTTTCTTGTTTTCTTTGCTAGAGTTAAAGTTTTGTGTGGGATTATTTTGTTCATTCTTTATGCGCTACATCAGATGTGTTTGCACGGACATGAATGAGAAATAAAATGTTGGTTCATGTTCTTGATCATGCATGGTTTTCTTGCATGTTGATGTTCATTTTTTTTTAATCCTCTTTTTTTTTTTTTTTTTTTTTTTCTTTTTTTTTTTTTTTTTTTTTTTTTTCCTGTTCTCTTTGAAGTCCAGGCACTTAGCTTTTAGCAATCTAAAATAAAAAAGGTTTTTTTTTTTTTTTTTTTTTTTTCCTGTTCTCTTTAAAGTCAGGCACTTAGCTTTAGCATCTAAAATAAAAAAGGAAGAAAGCAAATCTACTGATAGGGAAATGAGGTAGTCCTATTTAGTTGCTAATGCTGTAATGGGAGCTTTTCTTGTCTACTATGTACCAACCTTGAGTTTTGTTGATGAAGTGCATTCTTTTAACTCTATATGATATATGTTATCAGCTTCTGCAACTGCCTGGCTTATTCTTGCTTCACTTGAATATTATTGGCATATATTGCATTTTACATAGAGGCAGATTCAAATTTAAAAGCAAAGAACTTGCTTGCAGTTCTCCTATGTTTCAAACAACCACAACTCATAAGATTGCAAGCCTGAGGTTTTAGTTAGAATATTTATTTGGAAAATATGCTTGCAGGGGTTCTTCACTTTGTTCTGGCAATCTTCACCCTGATGCTGTTGTTCGTCAGGAAGAGTGTATAAAGGCTGATAAGAAAGCCTACTACTCTGAGATACAGAACTACCATAATGAGTATGCTACACATATCTAATTTTATCAATGTATTCAAATCTTCTGTTTTTTTACAGTGGATATGCCTATATGATGTGTTGCTGTGGTTTCTTTTCTCCCTTGTGGCAGCATGATAAAATATTTGCAAAAGCTGAAGGAGACCTGGGAAAGCAGCAAGGATCCTGAAAAGGAAGTTTTGCAGAAGATATCGAGGTTGATTCCTACTGCATGCTTCTTCTTGTGTGCAATAAATTGTTGGAACTTGGTGTTTATCCACCATATGTGATATTGCAGCTCAAGCAACAGACAGTAATGGCTGGGCTACCTTCCTTGATGGTTGTGTTTCCTACTTGAATTATGATTAATAAGCATAAAACAGCTTAAAAATGGGAAGAGGATGATGATTTGGTTACTTATTTTTTGAAAAACTAAGAGCTGCAAGGTTGTCAAGGGTCATCAAAATTGATGAAAACCTAAATCGTGATTTCAAATGAATTTGTGAAGCTAGTTTCTGGTTAGCTAATGCAGCATCTTATGTGGTTTGACTCATCAATTATTATTCATTGCCTGTATATTTAGCATCTAAGGGAATTTAACTTCCTCAATCTGCTTTTTACTGTTCTAGCTTTTCTCGCATTTTATCAGTCCTTGAATCATGGCTGGATAATACTTCTTTGGGGCCACACTATACTGATATTCTTATTCAGCTTGTATACTTAATATGATTGTTCATTTCATGCTTGTTAATAGTTTTTTTATTCTTTTGGCATCTGAATGCTTTTTAGTTTATAATGTTGTGATGTGATTATAACGGATGCTCATTATTTTGTAATACATGTTTTATGTAAGTATTTATTATGTAAGTATTTATACTTTGCTCACTTCAGTTGAAATTGGGATATGTTCTAGTTGACATTTAAGGTGTTAATATATCAAACTTTTAGTTTTTTATCTGTTAATATTGTCTTTTGAAGAGGTCATATATAATCTTTTGTGTTTTTTAGATTACATGTATAGGTTGAATTCTTCTTTTGATTTCCCATGGGAGTTTTAACCTTTGGACTTAATTGATTTTTTAAGTAGGTCAAGAAGAGATGCTGACAAAAGAATTTCCTCACATGCAAATGAGTCTAGATTTCCCGACTCTGAGGAGAATGCTGTGGCTACATCTGAATCTTGCTCTTTGGTTGGAGAGGAGAAAGCATTTAGCAGTGACAATCAAAACTCTTCAGCTACAAAGAGTGGAGAACTTCAAAGAAGGTAATTAATCTTGTACAATAAGGCTTACCGTCAGGTGATTTTAGCTGGCTCTCTCACTTGGAAAGGTTCTTAATTGAGGTTTTAATACTTGAAGTTTTCTCTTGGAGCTGTGGTTCCTCCTCCCAGAATGGCATCTTGCACTTAGATTTTTCAATATCAGATTTTAAATTGTGAAACAGAAATCTGAATTGAAAATAAATTATGAGCTTGAATTTCACTAGATTCCTATACTACTCTCATGCCTAGAACAAATATCAATTGGCATTAGACATGGTCATATGGAATAGTCTATCTCACATTGCCAAAGAACCACTTATCTCCAACTTAAAGTAACAATATTTAGTACAAATTCAGTACAGTTATACCTCTAATGCAATATGAACTTTTGATGAACAATGATTGTGGGGCTTCCGTATAATGTGAAATTTTAAAGTTGAATTGTGCTATTATTTTTCAGAGTAATTGTTCATTCTGATATCATAACCTTAAAAATCTTTTTTTTTTTTTTGTCAGGGTAGTGGGAGTGGGTTTGGTGGTTTTTGTGTGGATGGTTCCTCTCAAATTGTGAGGCGGTTAAAGTAGTAAAGAGAGGAATAATGCCCCTAATGCTATGTTGGGAAACCTCTACCATTAATTACCCTCTTCATCTTTTGCAAAATTAATCATCTTTTTATATCTCATTCGTGTGGTATTCTGTGGAAGAATTTCAATTTTTTCTGGACATACTGGTTCTAGTATCTTACTAAATGCTGTCGTTCTAATCATGCTGATATTTTTCCCTTGGCTCTTATTCTTCTGCATTGCAACTGCATGGGCTTGCAGTTTGACCCTGATTTCATGTCTCTTGTATCTTAAGAATTGTGTATTTCCCAAGGGTTCTTTTGAAAAAAACTAGTTTTTCATCTTTGCTTTGTAATATTCATAAACGCTTTTGAAGAATCTTACTGGCTGTTTTCAGTGACAGGATTCATGATAAAGGCTTCACGAAGGATAAAACTAGAAAGCCGTTGGTTGCTTCGGATGATGCAGGAACCAGAAAAGGAGAAAAATTACAGAGGCATAATATTCACCAGACTGATGGTGACAAATATATGTCATACTTAAAGGTCTGGAATCTGTAAATATTTCTTTTGTATATGAAACTCAGTAATTTACCAGTCACCTTCATGGATGGATGATTTATCTTGGCAGTCATTGCTAATTTGGGACAATTATTATAAAACGTGTAGGTGCTTTCAGCTCTAACTAAACAAAGCAATAGATTTATTTTATTTTTGTTCTTCTGGAGAGCTTGCAAGTCAATGACCAAACGAGGAACAAAATGTACTTGTTGGGAATATTTTTACTGTTTGATAGCTTAACTACAACTTTGTAGATATTTGAGGCATTATGGACCTTAGCATACTTTTTTAGGACTGTCAACCCTTTAGTTGATTATTCTTGGCATGCATCTTTTATCCTTTTGATATGAAGGTGACCACAACCATGATCAGGGAATAGGTTAAAAACTCCATCCTATCCACAACCTCTCTGGCCATTGAATATCCTATTTTTTAAATTGGGTTTTATTGATGCTTTGCAGCTATCTTGCATATTAACTTCATTAACATGGATTGCTTTATAATCTAATGTTTTAATTTTCAGTATCTTAAAGTAATTTGTTCTGCACTTAACACGCTTTATTGTACACCTCCAACTCTATTTGCATTATTGCAAAGAGTCTTGTGTCATGTCTTCAGTTCTTATCCCATATGCTTGGCTTGTTATGAAAATCAGTACTTAGCCTGCAGTAAGTAGTAACTGAATAAAACTGATATCATTTGTAGATGTGGATTGAGGAACTAAGTTTTGTAAGTTTCAAAATACATGCAGTTCTTTTGATTTTTATAAGCTGATCATGTGTCTTTGGCAAATTTCAGATAAGCAAGAAGCAGCACCAACTTGTTAAGAGTATGAAGCATTCTGGTAAAAGCATTCAGTCCAAGTCTCTTAATCGTGTCTTAGGTAACCTTGATACGCTGCATGTTCAACCATATGAAGAATTTGTAAAAGAGGAGCAGAAGAAGTTGCAGAAGCATTGGTTAGTCGTATAGAGTGAACTAAAAATTTTTTGGAATATTACACACTTCCTATTTTCCCCATCTCAATATGTGATTTTATATTCATAGGTTTAAAATTGCAAATAAAGATCTTCCTGCAGCATATGGAAACTGGAGACAGAGACAGTTCCAGAGACATGAGATCCTCAAGTCTTTGGAGCAAGACATGAAAGACAAAGTGGAATCCTGGATGGAGGTTTTGACACTCTGACCCTTGTAATTTTGCCTTTTCTTCTCCTTCACGTGTGCCTGTCTGCATCTGATATAATTTGTGTTGGATGGCAGCATAAGTTGCACAACAGTGAAAGTCTTGATTGTTTACATGTTTAATGATTGGTTTGTATTCAGGAAGAGGAGGGAACGAACCGTGACATTGTTCTTCAGGACCAGAACAATGAACAGAACGATCAAGGAGAAAGAGGAGATGAATCTGTGTTGGAGGTTTGATACTTTGTTTCTATCCCTGTAATGTGTTCTTTTTCCCTTGTGCATGTGTCCTCATGTGCATCTGCTGCAATTTTATTGCATGGCAGCAGAAATTGTGGCAATGTTTAGTCTTCCTTGTCCTTACATGTGTAACTTAGGTTTGTTAATCCTTTCAGGATGAGGAGAAACTGAACCATCTGGATCAGAATATTGAAGGTGCAAGAAATCATGATTCTGATACGGAGGTTTGATACTCTGCCCCTGTATGTTTTCCTTGTTGCTTCTGACATGTGTGCTCAATCAGCATTTAATATGGTTTTATTGATCATGGATGACCGATGAAATTGTCTGTATAAGTTTAACTTGGGCGTAAATGCTTACAACTTGCTTTGCAATCTATTCAGGATGAGGAGAAATTTGATGATGATACTGTTGTTGAGGACCAGAATGATCAAGAAGCAAGAAAACATGAATTCAGTGAGGAGGTCTGATACTGTACCCCGATAGTATTTTCCATGTCCTTTGTGCAATTGTGCTTATTTCTGCATCTGATGTAATGTTGTTGTATGTCCAGCAGAAACTTCTCGTACCTGATTTTTCATTATTATGCGATAGTGAGCCTTACTTGGTTTGTGATTGATATGTTCAGGATGAGGAGAAAGAGAGCCACAATGAAGTTTTGCTTGAGGATCAAAATGATGGAGCAAGAAATGAGGCTGAGGCTTCTTATGAGGAAGACGATGAAGTTTCTGGTTCTAGCTCTCCACAGCAGATTTCTTCCCTCAATGTTGGCCATGATCTTAACCCTGTCGATGTGGATTCAGAAAGTAATCATGTGGGGTCCAGGTCAGATGATGCTTCTCCAAATGCATCTGAGTACTCCGGTAATGCAAACAATGCAGATGCTTCCATTAGACATGGGGTTCCAATCTCATCTGGTGGAGATGTCTGGCCAGCAAATAGCATGGGACAGTCTTTTTATGAGTCAACTACAAACCATGAATTTGTGCCTACTAGTGAGTTGTCGCTCCAACACCCAGTGAATGAAGCCCAACGGCACCAATTAATTGATTTGGAATCTGATGTGCATGAAGAAGATAATGGTAAAGTTTTGTTTCACAGACAATCTGATGATGGTTCCTTCAGTTCTTACCCAAATCATGACCGAAGTGGGTTGCTTCAATCTCTGTTTAAGGGCCAGGAGATGTTACCCTACCATCGTGAACAAAGATCAATGGGGTTAGATTACCAATCAACAAACAATGTATTGATTGAAGATGGTCATTTTAATGGGCATCTCCAAAGGCAGCTTCAACCCTCACTACTTGAGCATGGGCAAAAGAGACATGGTGACAATTACATGCAACAGTCTGTGTCAGACAGCATTTATTCTGAAGGAAGTGCATACCTAATGCCGAGACAAGGACATGTGCCGCCTGTCAATCTACAAGATTGGCCTGTTAATCCTGTTCGCATGTCATCACGACTTCATCCTCAGTTAAACAATGATGTATTATTGAGCCAGAACTGGTATTCTGGCGAGCATCATGTTCGTGGTGGTTGGAATAGTACGGATAATGTGAGTGTCCCTGGCCAGAGCATGGGAAGCAGTGCAGACCAGAGCTTGTATAGTGTACTATCCCAGTGTAACCAATTGCGTTCAAGTAGCCATTTTGATTCAATGGGGCCTACTGAGCAGTTCATGTTGCCAAGGAACTATGAAATGGCAAGTGGTGTTGCTTCTAGGATAAGTAATTCTTTACCGCAAGCAGCGCATCCTCTTGACTACTTGAGTGGACGCGATGCCTCAAATTCTCTGATGTCTGATGATGCTGGGGGATGGATGTCTTTGCCTCAGAATGCAGGCTTAAATGATCCAGTGGGGAAATCATACCTTAGGTCGTGGAATCAGTAAGACTTATTGTTCATTTTATGTGGGTTTCAAGTTTATGATCCTGGTCGGAAGATTGTGTCACAGGAAAGGTTAAAACACAAGATGCATGCCAAAGGACTTTTGTCCATCTGAGGAACTAGAATTTTGAGGTTACTGTGGATTTGCAGTATCACCGAGATAGGATTTGTACATACCTTATACATGAGAGTCAACTGAAAAATCCCCTGTATATATCCAGATGATAGATGGGCAGCTGGAGGCAAGGATAAGGGAAGGATCAAAAGGATTCTGATATCTCTATTTGGTAGGTGGATAGGTGGATTTATATAGTAAATGTTTGTTTCCAGTGGCATTTTCATTTTCAATTTTCCCTTGACTGAGAAATATCATTTAATAATTTGGAGGCTTTGATTTGCCTGACGCTTTCTCTCTTTGTTTTTCTTTTGAATCGCGGCATTTTTATTTACCAACTGCATTTGACTATCCCTTTGTGCATATACACAAGCTCTTTAGAGTGGTAATTTGATGTCGGACCGATGGGCTCAAACCCGCAGCTTCCGTCGGGGAAATGCATCAGAGGAGCATGACGAAAATGGCAAATGCAGCCAGGCTGTTATGGTAGAGTGGGACCTTTTGCCGTGTTTTTGCTGGTATTTGGTAGCATATGCCAAAAAGGGTGCAGGTTAAGCAATCATTTGTGATGCCTTATATTTGATTATTTGTAATGTAAGCCGGACAGGATGTTGGGATGGGAGTCATTCTTGTTTTGGTCGGACCTCTTGTCCTGTCTGGATGATTACATGTTGGAATGGCTTTCAATCTCATATGACGAGACATACATCACCTCTTTAACTGTTGGCAAGGCCAGGTCTTATTTTATTGTTTAGAAAAAAAAAAAATGTCATTTTTGAAAAAAAAAATCTAAATAAATAATTTAAATTGAAAAGATACATACATATCATTGAAATTTTCGTTTTAAAAATTAGTTTGCTATTTCCAATAAATTTTCTCAATTGTTTCGAACTCTTGACTTTACAGATAAATTAACTTTAATAGCATGTCTTATAAAAACATTTGAAGTTTAAATAATTTAATCGATTATCATTTTTAGTTCACTAAATATGATTTTCTTTCACTAAACGAGATTGCAAAGCATAGTATTAATACCTTTTGCAGACTAAGAATAAGCTGGAAAGTATTAATTCATTTTGGGATTTCTTGCTGTTACTAGAAGATTGTAAATTGCAATTATTCCAAAGCTCTTTAAAATAACATATATATATTATTCAAGTCGAATTCTAAATATTTTTTAATCTTCTGTAAAAAATATTGAACTACATAATACACTCTTTAGCTAATGCCGTTTAAGAAAAACCGTTACAATTTATTTTATTAATTTTCTCAATTTAAAAGACACAAATACTCTCATTTCTCCTATAAAAAATTGTTTTATTAATTTTTCGAGAGGGATAAGCTACTCACGTGCGATTGTACTGTGTAACCTTTGTCATGTGCGGTTGATTAAAGCTTAGTTTCCTTACCGACAACAGAAAAAATAAAAAAAAAAATGTAGTAAAATCTGAAAAATGAATTTCCCTCCGAAGAGGACGCGTGGGTTACAGTTGCTGAGACAAAGCCGAGCGAGATGAACAAAGAAAGACAGAGACAGACAAAAACTAATGGTGAATTAAAGCCTAATTAATATTAATGATCAGGGAAAAAGGAGTTACTGTTTCTCACTTTGGCTTCTCTACTAAGTATAATTTAATTGCTATTCCAATTTTGCTTTTGATTCCAATACAAATCCCTTCAATTTCATTTTTCGAATCTTCTTGGCTTCATCTTCTCACCCATAGAGAGAGAGAGAGAGGATGGTTCTGTTCGCACATATATAGACGGAACTTCCTTCAATTCTTGAGAATAGCTGGCTGTTTGGTTCAGATTTGAAGAAAGACAATGAACAAGAATAAGAAGAAAGATGTAATTCGATTGGAAAAGGAATCTGTGATTCCAATTCTTAAACCAAAGCTTATCATGACATTGGCTAATCTTATTGGTATATATCTTTCATTTCCTTCTTCGTTTAAAACCTTTTTTTAATTTTTTTTCTGATTTGTTTAATCATTAATGAATGTTGTGGTTGCTTTATTGTTTTTGTTTTATTGGGTTTTGTGAAGATGTGGGTCTTCTTTGTTTTTGAAATATACAAATTGGGTGTTGCTACAGTTTTGTGTTAGATTAGGTCTATTGAATTAATGAATTGGTTACTAGTTTTGGCCATTGTTGGTTTTTGTTCTTTTGTCGTCTTTTTTACCTAATTGGTCTCTCTTAATCATATTCAGGTTCTATATGAATTTTCCGGTTTTGCATTTTTGTCTCTGTTTATAGTCTTGATGTATTGACTCTTGCATTGGCTCCCACCGGCTGATAAACTTTAAATTTTGAAATTTGGAATTGGCAACTTTCTTGCTTTATGCTGTGGTTAGTTATGCAGACAACGAGCTTCACCTTCTTTTAAAGCAAAAAAGAAATGTTATTTGAGAATTTTAAGAATTCCAATAGCTATTGTTACTGTAGATGCTTTTCATATGATGGTTTATTGGCCCAATTTTGCGTCTCATTATAAAACTTGAGTCTTGACATACCTGATTTTTTTTTTTTCTGACATTCTGCAGAACATACTTCTGACCGGGCTGAATTTCTAAAGCTCTGCAAGAGAGTCGAGTACACGATTCGAGCTTGGTACCTTCTGCAGTTTGAAGATTTGATGGTATTCATATTTTCTTTGTCCATTGCTTTTTCTTCTTCTCTAGTGATTCTGCAATGAAAATATTTCTTACTCACTATTGAATTTGAATTAAATACATCTTGCATCTGCAGCAACTATATTCCCTCTTTGACCCTGTAAGTGGGGCTCAGAAATTGCAGCAGCAGAACCTCTCTCCTGAAGAAATTGATGTACTTGAACAGAATTTCCTAACATATTTATTTCAGGTATTATGAATGTTTAATCATTTGTATTATTTTTTAGATCGACCGAGGGTGGAAAAAAGAAAAAAGGAAATAACGGCCGTCATCAGATTGATAGTGACTTAGTGAGATGTTTTAATGGCTGATACTAGTTCTCTTAATAATGCTAATAATGTTATATTTACTCTAAAATGAGGAGAGGAAATTCCATTAGTTACATAAGGTGTAGATAAGATGCAAACTGAGATGAACAGTAATTCTGTAGTAATGCACTGCACATATGTTATTTTTTAAAATAATAGCACTGTTAGTACAGTATTTTCAGAAATGTCTTATCTGGATCCAGGTAATGGATAAAAGCAACTTCAAGATAACAACTGATGAAGAGATTGATGTTGCACTTTGTGGGCAATATCTTTTAAATCTTCCCATCTCAGTTGATGAATCCAAGGTTTGTGAATTGTTAACATTTGTGGTCAAATAGTTGCACTCTACAGTGATATATGTGTCTGTAAATATGCTTATCATTGTGTATATCATAGCTATTTTATTTGCCCCTTAAGTTTGCTTATTCTGATATAATGTCTTTTTTCTACTGTGCATAGCTTGACAAGAATCTTTTGAGAAAGTATTTTGCTGAGCACCCTCATGAAAATCTTCCAGACTTTGCTGATAAGGTATTGCAGTAAATTTAGCATTAAAGGCTGCTAGCTTTTTGAGAACTTTAAGGGCATGACTGCTCTGTGGTATCATCTGGAAAAAGTTTCCTTTTCTTGTGATGGAAGAATAGATGGAGGGGAAAGTGGTATGATGGCTACCATACCACCTGAAAACATCTTACTTATTTTAGTTATTGTTTCCTTTTACCCCTTCAAATATTTGGCTTGTTGAGTTGAATATGCCCTTATTCCTTGAAATCTATTGGTCGCCTGTTCATGTCTCATTGGCTTTATACCCTCTATGGAGTGCATGGTTTACCTTTAGTCTATAGTGCGGTATCTTATTTGCTTGTTATGTTATTCAATTTCTGCACTATGGTTGCTGATTAGTGCACTTGGCACTAGGGGTCAAAAGTGACTTTTTTTATATCAGGGCAATGAAGATTAATTGTTTTTATTTACCAAAAAACAAAAATTAATTTTCTATATAACAACAGATATTTATCATCATTTTGTTGAATGAGAAATGCTGAGGTTATCACTACGACTCAGAACAAAGATGATGGATGTTGAACTGTTTGATGGACAGTATTATAAATGATAACAAGGAATTAGATTTGCATGTTGGGGTTCACTGCCAATGTGCATCATTAACATTTTTCTTGCTTCTTGGTTCACTTGGCTTATTTTTTTTGGACTGTCATTGTTGAACCCAGCTTCTAAAGTGTATCTTGAGAGCAAACATTGTTGCTGGGACAACTTCAGTGCCTAAGGGTCCAAGTGATGCTGTGTTCACTTTTTGTTAGGGGAAAAGTCACTGCATTTTGAGATCAAGGCCTGTTTGCCAGGCTTTCCTAGTGCTTCATTAGGTGGAACCAGTAATTAGGGGGCAAAATTCCCTGAGCTCGTGGAGTAATATCCCTTTTTAGTTGTATTTAACTCTTCAACCTTTATAAAAAGAATGGTGTTCCTTTTCAAATGCTAATATGCTGAAGCATGAATGAAAAATTGTGCTGAGGGGAAACCCCATGAAGAGCACCGCCATATTCAATAATTTCTTATTATCTAGTTATTAATTTATTTTGGTGAAATTTCAAATATATAGAGTATCTCTTTTCAATCTTGTTTTTTTGCTTATTTAACTATTATGCTTATTTCTAGCTTTGTTTCTCTAATAAGAAAATGGCTTTGCTGAGGGGTTCTACTGTAATTTAGAGAACGATGCTTGTTTAATTTTCTTGATAGCTATAAATTTGGCAATAAAGCCTATTTACTCATGAGACCAAATTTGTCCCCTGTGAGTCTGTCAATTGCAATATCTTGATGAATTTCCTATATTATTATAAATTTAATACAGAAACAATAATATTAATTCATGTTCTTAATGCGAAGTGCAGTTCTTAAAATTTTTAAGTGAAGCACTTTGTTTATTGTGGTGGATCTTATGTATTCAAGCTTGCCCTTTTATTATTAGGATTGTTCTTTGTAATGGGTTTCTATCTTTCAAGAAAGCTAAAACCATTTTTGTTTGATGTTTAGTATGTTATCTTTCGACGTGGGATTGGAATTGATCGGACAACTGATTTTTTTATCATGGAGAAGGTAGACATGCTGATTGCACGTTTTTGGGCATATATTTTAAGACTGACTCGGTAAGCAGTTTTGCTTTTTATAAAAATTGCTGATTTGCTTTCAAGATCATATCACTGGACATATGGTTATGGGCAGTAAAGATCCATGTGATCTCAAAACTCATGTTTTCTTGATAATCTAATAATTATCATCATTGGCACTATTGATAAATGGCTTTTGCAATTCTTTGATACTTGTCATTCCCAAATGTGAAATTACTGTTAATAGGAAATGTGCTTCAACAGCTGTGTTTTTCCGCACATTACTTTTAACTTAATTTTTTTTATGCTTTCAGTTTCTTTTTAATGTTTTCCAGGGTTATGTTGTTTGCAGGGTAGAAAAAATTTTGCGCAGAAGGCAAAGTCGACGGCATAATAATGATCCAAAGAAGAACGATGAAATTAATTCTGAAGCAGATCGGGATGATTTTACTGTTGAACGAATTCGTTTGGAAAATATGGAATTAAGGTAGTGACGGTATCATGCCCATGTACAATGTAAATGAGCTGCATGTGTGCCATTCTATTCTATTTGAGAGATGCCTTGCTTGATTTTGCTATTGTGTGATATTTACAAATGTTTTTTTTTTTTTTTTTTTTAAAAATTTTTTTTTTTGCGGCTATCTTTCAATGAAAGGCTTAAAATCCATTTTTTGTTTGATGTTTAGTATGATTATTTTTCGGAACGTGGGAATTTGGAATTGATCGGTACAAGCTGAATTTGCTTTTTTTATGCCATAGGAGAAAGGTAAGACATGCTGATTGCACCCTAACGTTTCGTTGGGCATATATTTTAAGACTGGAACTCGTAAAGACAGTTTTTTGCTTTTATAAAAATTGCTGAGGATCTTTGCCTTTCAGATCATGAATCACGTGAGACAATATGGGAGTTATGGCAGTAAAGGATCAATGTGATACATCAAAACTCCATCGTTTTTCTGAAATAATCTAATAAATTATCATCATTGGGCACTAAATTGATAAAAAGTGGCTTTCTGCAATTCCTTTGATTACTTGTCATCTCCAACAATGTTGAAAGATTACTGTCTAATCAGGAAACTGCAGTGCTCTCCACAGTCAGCTGTGTTTTTTTCCCGCACCAAATTACTTTTAAACTTAATTTTTTGTTATGGCTTTCAGTTTATATCTTTTTAATGTTTTCCAGGGTTATTTGTATTGGCAGGGTTAGAAAAAAATTTTTGCCGCAGAAGGCCAAAGTCGACGGCAAGTCATGAAGTTATAATGATCCAAAAGAAAGAACGATGAAGTCTTAAAGTTCTGAAGGCAAGATCGACGATGGAAATTTGTATGGGATGTTGACAAGCAGCGAAGTTTCTTTGGAAAATAGATGTGGGAATTAAGGGTTAAACGACGGTATCATAGCCCATGTACAATGGTAAATTTTGAGCCTGCATGTGTGGCATTCTATACATATTTGAGAAATGCTTGAGCTTGATTTTGCTATGTGTGATATTTACAAATGTTTTTTTTTTTTTTTTTTTTTTTTTTTTTTTTTAAAAATTTTTTTTTATAAATGAAAATTAGCTTTTTACCCCTTTTGCAAAGTGAATATTAAACCATTAAAAGTATATTTGAATGTTTTAATAACATGTCATTCGTGTAAACTTTTGGGTCTTCTTATTACGACATCAGATTACTTTTTGTCATTCTGAATTTTATTTATGGATTTGTAAACAACTTTCTCTAGACATTGCTCGATCTTGAATCTGTCTTTATTAGTGAATGATTGAATAATTACAGGTTGCAAAGAAAACTACTCTCTCTCTCTCTCCCCCCTCTCCCTCTCTCTCTCTCTCTCTCTCTCTCTCTCTCTCTCTCTCATGTCATTCTCGTCTCTCTCTCTGCTCGGTCTCTCTCGCCCCCACACAGAGTCTCTGTGTCCTTTAGATGTGCCTGCATACAGAGTCTATGATACATAAACAATAATTTGGGCAATTGGGAGATAGAGAGTGATTTTAAGGAGATGTTTGCTTTACGAATTTTTGTCAAATATATCAAAGGTTTTGAAAATTTTTGAATTGGGTTTTGAATTATTGGTAACTTCACTAGTTTTGGTTATACTTCATGTTGCACAAAGTGTAGGAATAGTTTATGATAACAGGTGCGGAGTATTGTTAAATAGAGATATTCTTTGGATACAGCAATCAGAGGCTTGGTGTTTGATAGTTAGAAAAAGTTTGGGAGTTGAAGACTTTTTACTTATGTCAGGTGGCTGGATACATTGTTAGCTTGCAAGAATACTTGAAGCTTGGAAAATTCTTATCTATTGGATGCTAATAAACGGCCTGGGTACTCTTTTTCATGTTAGGCCTTTTGTTGAAGGATTGAGTTTTTTTTTATTTTTTTGTATCTTGACATTGTGTTTTGTGCTTTTGTTTGTATTGTTTTTTTGATAAAATTTTTTTGCAACATTCTTATATAACAAATCTTAATTTCTCTTGGTTCTGGAAAGGAATACAATGTAACAAGAACTTTGTTCGACGAAGCAATGTTGCAATTAGTTCCTAAGTGGTTAAAAACGAAATCCAATTGATTTTTCTCTTATATACTCATGAATTGATGGTGAGTACTATAAATGACATTCTTATTTTGTTTTCTTTTCACTCTTACTCTCTCTCTCTCTCTCTCTCTCTCTCTCTCTCTCTCCCCTCTCGCCCCCAACACAAGTCTCTGTGTGCTTATGTGCCTGCATACAGAGTCATGTACATAAAACAAAATTTGGGAATTGGAAATAGATGATTAGGAGTGTTGCTTTAGATTTTTCAATCAAAGGTTTTGAACATTTTAATTGGGTTGAATATTGGTAACTTCACTGTTGGTACTTGTTGCAAAGTGTAGGATAGTTATGTAAGGTGGAGTATTGTTAAAGTCAGAATCAGAGGCTGGTTTGATTAGAAAAAGTTTGGGAGTTGAGAATTTATTTGTCAGTGGCTGGATTTTAGCTTGCAAAATCTTGAAGCTTGAAAATCTTATTATGGATGCTTACGGTGGTTTTTTTTGTTAGGCCTTTTGGTTGAAGGATGAGTTTTTTTTTTATTTTTTTTTATTTTTTTTTTATTTTTTAATTTTTTGCAAATTCTTATACCATTTAATTTCTTGTTGGGAAAAATAAATGTAAGATTTTGTCCGAGCAGTGAATTGTCCTATGGTTAAAAAAGAATCAATTGAATTTCTTATTATTATTGCTACTTAATGACATTCTTATTTGTTTCTTTTCTCTTCCAGTGTTAAGAATCTGCTAACCAGAACCACAATCCAAGAGCCTACGTTTGATAGGATAATAGTAGTTTACAGGTACTTCTTATTTTCATTTTTTTTATTATTGCTTTCTAAACAATGTTCTCAAGAACAATATCGTGCATTTTTATAGTGATTCTTGTCAGAAGATTGTTGTATTTGCTGTTGAACTGATGATATGCATGTAATGTATCACTATTTTGATATGAAGGAATTGGTCCTTTCACATCAGGAGGCTGAGGGTTCTTTTATTGGGGCTTATTGCATATTAGATAAAGCTCTTTTGGTGTTGCACTCATGAGCTACAGGAATTTTTATCATTTCTTTCACGGGGAGGGAGAATTACTGCTAGTTCTCTGAGTCACTTTATACTGAAATTAATTTCGAATAGATCAGATCGTAATAATTAATTGACTAATACTAAGATGATGGCTACTTTCCAGGCGAGCAGGTACCAAATCAAAACCAGATCGAGGAATTTATGTGAAGCATTTCAAAAACATTCCAATGGCTGATATGGAAATAGTTCTTGTGAGATTTGGTCACTTCTATCTCTCTAATCTTTGTTCCCACTTACGACATGGTGTTGAAACTTTTATCACTTGACAGCCTGAAAAGCAAAATCCTGGGTTAACTCCAATGGACTGGGTCAAATTCCTGGCCTCTGCTGTAGTTGGGCTGGTGAGTTATATGCATGAAGCTATAGCTGGCTGTTCATTTGCATTTTCTTCATCTTATTTGAAAGGCACTTACTGTGCCCTTGATTGCAGGTTGCTGTAGTTGGTTCAGTTGAAATGCCTAAGGCTGACTTGTGGGTCATTTTTGCTGTCCTTTCCACTGTGATTGGTTACATTGCTAAGACATACTTCACGTTAAGTCTCTCCTCCTATCTATGTATCTATCTATCTATCTTGTGCACATGGTGATGTTTTCTCTCAAATTCAAAATACTTCAATTCAGCTAAAACCAAACAAGTTCGAAGAGGCTACAAACATGTACAGAGAAAAATAAAATAGAAAATCGCTAAATAGTTGTACTAAAATATGAAATTCCTAAACAATTTCTAAAAGAAGAAGAACAATAATTTTGAAGCCCTTCTCTCCAAGATGGGCCAGAAGTATGAATCAAGCTTGAGATGTGCCTATGAGGAGGTATGTGAACCAGATCACATTTGCTTGAGCACATTTTCCCCTTTTCAATTCTACATGTGGCTACAGATGTTGTGGGCCTGAATGAATGGTCTAGAAAGAATATGGCACAACAAAGTGGCCTTGTCAATTTGAGTTCTCTCTTTTCTAACACATTGCAAGTTGTTGATTGCAATGTACCTGTTCCTTACTGCCTCTTCTTGTCCTATTCTTTTATCCCATTATGCCATATTTCATGGATAGTGCTGATACATCAAACTTAAGAGTCATTGGCCAGTTTCCTTCCACAATTGCTAATTTCTATCCTGTCTTAACTTAGGAAATATTCAGGAACGGATTTAATTTGGATTTTGCTCACTGACTTTGGAGGGGGTTGAACTGTTATCTTCCTCAAATTTTTAATAGTTCCATGCATCAGTGTATTCAAATAAGGGCAATTTCTGATATAGTTGCAATTAATGAGCTTTTAGAGGCTGTTATTGTTGCTTAGCACTCATGGATTCTGTATATTTGGTAGCTGGCTTGCCTCCTGTTTTTGTTTTTTCTCTGTTTCTTCCCTCCCTCTGTTTTTATTTTCTATGCTTATTGATGTGGCTTCTATTTCTTCAACCATCAACAGGTTTCAGCAAAATTTGGCTACATATCAGAACTTAATTACGCAGTCTATGTATGACAAGCAGTTAGATAGTGGAAGGGGTACTCTTCTTCACCTGTGTGATGATGTGATTCAGCAGGAAGTGAGTTTGAAGCTTGATGTTTCTTTTCCATTTCCTATCAAATATATTCTCTTTTTCATGACTGCCAACAACTTTTTTAGTAATTAAGGAGGCCAAAGAGGCAGTATTTGGAAATTATATGCCAATCATTACAAATTATATAACAATTATTCTGTTAAAAGGTTGTCTCGTGTTGTTAAGACATTATATTAGTGTGTTCATGCTGGAACATTTAAAAGGGTCGACCGATTTTAGGATTGAGGTATATCTTATGTTTCATTATGTATTGCCAGATGGTTTAATCAACTTGTTATTTCAGGTCAAAGAGGTTATTATCTCATTTTTTATATTGATGGAACAGGGCAAGGCTACACTGCAGGTTTGTATCACTTTTGCTCTTTGTTGTCTTTGAAGTTCTTGTCACCTTATTTAACTTTGCAATAATGTGAAACAGGACTTGGATCTGCGTTGTGAGGAACTAATTCAAGAAGAGTTTGGGGAAAGCTGTAATTTTGACGTGGATGATGCAGTTCATAAGTTAGAGAAGTTGGGCATTGTTTCTCGGGTGAGGAACTGCAAGAATTTAAAGTTTTATCTCAGCCAAAATAAAATATATTTAATTGCTTATAATTGTTGCTATATCATTCTGTTTAGGCATCCGAGAAAGATTGATTAGTTGATATGGAAATATTTATATGTCAGCTTGTAGTTGTTCATTGATGAGGGTATATATGGTTTTCATGCTGTTTCACTTGGGACCAAATTGGATGAGTGGGTCCGATGATTGAGCTAATAGACACAATGAAGTTAACGAGGCATTGAGCAGGAAGTCTAAATTTGTTGGTTTGGGGGGTTTGCCTGGCTGAGTGGAATATGCCAGTAAGAGACTTGTCTCAGCTGCAAAGGGATATCCTCATCTATGATTTGTTAATATACGAGTGAATGACATACAAATAAAATAAAGCAAAGATACGTGTGCATTTATGTCGAGTATCATTCACTTCTAGTGGTTTGCTTTCACGGGACTGGCACATGCAAATAAGGCTTGTGTATTTGCATTTTGATTATGTAATTACTGTAGGATGTAAACTAGTCCTTGGTCAAATTGATGTACTCATCTCTGATATTTTATTGTGCTGTCTGTTCATATGTTTTTTCTAACTCTTAAGCATTTAAAACTGCAGGATAGTCTGGGACGCTATTTTTGTGTTGGCTTAAAACGTGCTAATGAGATTATTGGCACTACAACCGAAGAGCTTATCCTCAAGGCAAAACAGGGTGTTAGTACTACTTGATGCTGCTGGCTTTGGTAGATGAGGAGCTTGTATATGTATATCGTTCATAACTGTCTGAGTGTTATCTGCAGTAGAAAGCTAGACTAATGGGCTCCTCTAGATGTTTTTTTTTTTTTTTTTAATCTGATTGCTTTATGATCTTTTTCTCTACATTAATCATTTAATATTTGTAAATCACGAATACGTATAAGGTGTGACTTTGCTGTTTTGCTGTAAGGTAATTATTTCATTGACAGTTGATATTCAATCTGTTGGTGAGTTTTACAATTACAGTGAATGAACATAATTAAGACCCTGGAAGAGGTGTTTATCGAATTGAATTCACTTATTGATCGTTGAATTTTTTAATTTTTTTTTTTTTTATTTTCCAATATCCACCAATTATTGTGGTGTTTTGATCATTGGCTGGGAGAAACAAAGGGCGCAGAGAAGGAAGGTTCAGGATTTCAAATTATAGAAAATTCTTAATGCATCAAAGACAGGAAAGATGAAAAGAGGAAATGCCACATTTCACCGAATTGCATTCCTCTGTTGTTTATATTTACCTTTACATAGGACAGGATTGTTAGCTAGTTCAATGCAATTGTGTCACGTTTTTTTTTTCCCCTTTCAAATCGTCCATATGACATTTAAATTTCAATATCTCACATCATTAGTGCATGTAAAATTTTAAAATTAAAGCTGAATTATTATCTAGTCTCTAAAATTTAGTGAAATTTATCTTTATTTTTAAAAATTATTTAAAGTCGTATTGTTCAATTAAATAATCACTATAAATTTTTGTGTTAAATTTTAATTTTATTATTAAAAAATTTTGAATTTTCTTTCGCATATTACTATCAAATCAAGCCGAATTTTTCTGACCATCGCTAATCTTTTCCTGTCTTTAGCTTAAATTGTGTCAGATAAAATTTGGTAATACAAATAATAAACATGGCGTTTTGATCTTAATCAAAATGTCAAACACTATCTTAAAAACGGTTGTATCACAGAGCTTTTTAGTATTTGCTTATAGCTTTTGAAAGCAAACTCACAGTGTATCTATCTAATAAGGAAACATAAATGCTAATCTTTATAAACGAAGGCCACATTGATGCTTAAATTAATAATAATGAAAAAAAAAAAAAAAAAAAAAACGCATATTACTATTCAAGATCGAAGCCGAATTGCTATTGCTGACCACTCGCTAAGTGCTTTTCCTGGTCTTGTAGCTTAAATTGTGTCGAGATAGAAAGAAAAAGTTGGTAATCAATGAATAAACATGGCGTCTTGATTGCTGTAATGCAGAGATGTGCAACAACCACGTATCGTTAAAAACGGTTGATGATCACAGAAGCTTTTGTGAGTATTTGTGCTTATAAGCTTTGAAAGGCAACTCACAGGTGGTATCTGAGTCTTAATAGGAACATTAGAAATGCTAATTGCTTTGATAGAACAGGCCAATTTGATGCTTTAGAAATGTAATAATAAGTGAAAGAAAAAAAAAACGATCAAAAACTTGGCTGGGTTTTGGTTATGTGACGGTTCAAACGGTTGAGACCGGCATTTTTGAGAGACACTGAAACCAGACCGGCTGGTGTTAACAAGCTATGTAGAAATGAAGTGTTCGCTTGCCGAAATGATAGACAAGCTGATCGTGGTTTAAACAGGTATTCAAGAGAGGAACGAAATGTTGGCAGTATGAAGAAGCTAAGAAGTTTAACCAAATGTGCACTTCTTTTCCAGTGGATTACCAAAGAAAAGCCCTTCGTCCCTTTGCATGTTCCGGAATTCTTCTTAGCTTTTTGTTCAGGGGTAGTTCTTCTGCTCTATATGTATGTATGCGAGCTGCACGTAACTCGATCCTTGGAAGCATTAGTGAACTGTGCAATTGGATGGTGGTATTTCAGAAGAATGGTAGAAAAAATGAGAAAGGAGAATGATTTCGACTGGAGAGGGAACTTGATGTCCAATTCCGAAAACCACAGCTTATTCGTCGGACTTTGGAGCAGTCAGCTGTGTGGTTACCTCACCTTTCACAGATTATTTTATATTTTTTCACGATCGTTCGTTTAAGTGTCTATCTATACTTAGGTGTGTTTTCAAATGGGCTCGGGTTTTTCGTTCTTATATGTATCCGCTACTGGACATTAGGAGTTGTTTTGATGTTCTCGCAGAAGGATTTTGTGGACCGGGGCTGAGTTTCCTTTTGTAAGTTTTCTGGCGAGAGAGCTTGAAATACAAATTCGGGGCTTGGTAGCTTTCTGCAGTATTGAAGAGTTGATGGATTATTCAAAGTTATTTTATTCTCAATAACAGTTTTCGTATCTGGGAAGATGTTCTTTGTTTACGCTGTTTGTAAACGCTTGGAATATAAATACAGTTTTTGGTGTGTCTGCAGCAACTTTACTTCCTCTTTTGACCGCTGAGACAGGATGAGCTCGGAACTTCGAGGCAGCAAACACTTATCTTCTGTGAAGAAATTGAGCACACGTTGAACCATGAATTTTCGTAGGAATTATTTTGTATGTCAGGGTATATGGTTATTAGAATTGTGTCTACTACTGTATATAGTTACAGTCTTTTGAAATCAGGATACTGGGCAGAAGCATTGGGATGCTAGGTGTTTTGTCATGATGTCATTCTATGGAAACAGGTGGAGTGGACAAGCAACTTCAAGATGAGCAAACTTGATGGAGCGAGATGATTTGTGCAAGCTCTCAGGCCGAGTCATCGTTTGTAAAATTTCCCATGCAGTACGTTTGATGATGTCCAAGGTTTGTTTAATGATATGCATGAGTGACGATTGATTGCATTTGATATAGATGTCAATATATATTTATTTGTTCATGGTTTGTGCGATGATTTATGGAGTTTTCATGTGTTCTTCCAACCCGTTTTTTTTGTGTCGGATGCGTTAGGTTGACAAAGAGACTTTTTGGAAGTGTATCTTTGATCGAGCGTCGATGCCGATTTTGAGAAAGTTCCTAAGATTTGTTCGTAGGTAATGCGCTAAATGACCTTTGTAATTCTGGTTTTACTTTTCTCGTTAGGGCCATCATTGTGTACACATGCCCTTTTCTGTCGAAGAGGCTAATACCGTTCGTCGTGTTCGAAATCGTTTTTGGGTATACAGTTATCTGTGTGCGGAAGAGGGATTGGAGTGTTCGTTGAACTTGTATTATTTTTATGCATGTGGAAAGGCGGAGTAACCAATCGGAGGGTTTTGGGCATTTCTTGTCAAGATGAGAGCGGTTAAGAAGATGTTTGCTCATCGCGTGCGAAGAAACGTGTGATTCTGCTATAGGATAGTAATTTGACAGACCGTGAGGATTGTTCACGGTAATTTGAGCATTTTTCTATTTCTGTGCACATGACCAATGGCCATCGCGGGATATATACATTGGAATAGGGAAATTAAACAATATAGTCTCTTTAGTTCTTGGCATTACCTCAGTTCAGGATCATTAAGAAGATATTTGTCAGCTTTATGAGGTTCTTCATATAGTAACAAGGTTACCGGAGAAAATGAGGATGAAAGTGATGGTATCAGATTAGCTTTGCAACCCCAGTCTCTCCAGCAGACAAAGATTCACACTATGATGTTTTGGTTTCAGCGCTAGAGAAACTGAGTGGGCGAACAAGGTCAAGTGGACAAGGAAAGAAAAGAATACTACAAGAAGAGATGATTGGCGAAATCAGACACTAACATGCAACGATCAGGGGGACTTGTGTATCTTTGCCGAAGTAAGTCTCCAAAATATGGAGACTCAAGGTTGTTGAAGTTCGATGTCTGAGATGCTTGTGGTTGATGTGGCGGTGTATAGAAGAGTAGACAAGTATTTATGGTACGTAGGTCCAGCTGTGGTCAGTAAAGTCACGTATGGGATTACTGGCAGTCGTTAAACAATTTTTTTTTTTCCACAGTCAGCGTTGAAAATTTGCATATCTTGTCAAAAGTATGTTGGATTCTGACTGCTCTTGCAATTATATGTAAACAGAGTCCGTAAGACACTTGTTTTGAGATTCGTGAGCTGTGTGGAATAGTAGCGCGCAAACTTCTTTGTGTGAAAAGTGTTTTGGTAGGTTAGTCATATCATATATATCTATGCGCAATTCGTTGTTTTGTTGTCTGTTGAACTTGTATTTTGGCAGGTTCTTTAGCTTTTCTCTTCATGGATTGCATTTGGTTCGAATTTATATGTGGTAATTGTTTCCTATCCTTATATGGGTCACCAGTTGCAGCAAGCAGTTCAATGATTGCTGTCACGAAATACTTCTCTTTTTCTCTCGTGTGTCTGGGTATTTTATGACACCTGTTGATAAAAGATTAGAAAACACTGGAACTTGATGGCTGGGTGAGCAACTGGTCCAGCTTTTTGGATCAGAGGTTTAAACCCGATCATTGAGCTTATACAGCCACGTCTGACTATGAGGCATGCCTATGAGTGTTGTGAATAGTAGTAATGGTAAGTTTCAAGCAACACAACACAAAAGGAATCTGGTTAGTTTACATTTAGCTCTTGCAGTTAAATCATATTAATTTTTTTAGGTGTTAGAAGTGACGTGGGGGAGGGGAAGTTGATTGGTGTCTATGACCAAGCAAATTGAATTATACGATGGAAGGAGGAAAATTCTTCGCATGAAACATTTTGTAATTTTGCAGCCGCATTATAGGTGAAGAAAAGCACAGAAGAAAAAGACAACTAAGTATGGCTATTGGTTTAATATTTTTTTGATTTGACACAAAAACTTGAGAATTTAGTCATGGATTATTGCCTCACCCGAATTAACATATGTCCAATGTGTCTGCTGTTGGTTTCTTCGATAGTCAACTATAGCAATTATGGCTGAGTGCACGGGAGCTGAAAAGTACACAGAGCCCTGCATATATGAAACGGCGATTTAATAGTGGTTGTTTACAGGTGAGTCGTTCGCTTATCTATTGCTTTTGCTTGTATAATGGTGCGTGATGAATGATCGCATGGTCATGAGAGTGAGCGATGTCTTGGCATGTTATATTGACGGATTATTTTGGTTGGGGGGGTCTTTTTTTTTTTTTTTTTTTGTATTGTTTATTTTTTTTGTTTCTTCCATTTGTTGTTGTTGTCTTTAAGGGGGTAGGGCGATATTTATATTTAGACAATATCGTCTTTTGGGCTGATTGATGGCTTCGATTCGCAAGCTTATGTGGAATCTTTTTATTTAGGGGATCAGGAAAGTGAAGATCCTTTAACCTGTGTCCGTTAAGCTTTTGAAACTGGATTTGAACAAAGGCGAGCAAGTGTTTTTTGAAGCAGATGAAGATATTGAATGTAGCAGGCGAGCGAAGAACAGAGGA